TTTCATGATTTGTAATAGATCTGTCTAACAAAATAACTATATCATCAAATTGGTTTATTAATTTGTAAAATTCTATCAAAGAGATCTTAAAACCACCTCTGGCACAAATACAATTAAAAATTCAAATAGCAAAATTTAAGGCAATCTACAGCTGCAAGACCTAGATTTGTTTCAATATCACCAGCGAGCAGCATAATCAGATTAGCAGGAAACTCTTCTCAGGCTCTTAAAATGCCCATATAGTTGCTAATCAAAAGTGCATATATGCCACTAAACTGCCAAAAATACTTGCAAGCAGCAAAAGCAGCTTACAGTAACTACAAGCATAACTTGACAGCAAAGTATCTTGTTGCTGTGTTTTAAAATGGTGCCATAACAGTCATTAGCAAAGGTTTTCCCGGTAGCACAAATGATGAAATTATCACACTCACACTTGAGTGCTGGTGATTTAATTCTTGCAGACAGAGGCTTTTTGATTCAAGAACTGTTGCCAAAAATAGTTTTTCTTATCCCACCTGCATTCCTTTGTGGTGAAACCCAATTCACAAATGAAGAAGCTATCTTTTCTAGAAATATTACATAAACTTAAAAGCTACAAAATATTAGCTTATGTGAACACACAATCGGCACATGTTATTGATAAATTACTCAAGTCTGTGCTGTTCTTGTAAATTTACAGATACAAATAATAGCAAAAATTTTTGAGAGTTATAACAAAAAAGGTAACATGAGTTTTTTCAAAGAAACTTTAAGGCCAACAACTTTCAACAAATCTTTTCATTGTTACTTTCACAGAAAAACAGAATTGAGACATTTAGGTTATCCAACAAGTTCTATATTCTCTGAAGTTTAAAGTTGGAGAATATGATAAGTCATTAATACTGCCTCAGAACTTCAAAAGTAAGATATTGTCAAAATTGAAGGGAGAAGGTAAAACAAGGAATCTAATTTGAAGAATACACATTGGATAATAAATCACAACTTTAAGGGGAAGTCTGCTCAAAATAATTATCAGGCAATCTTGATTCTTTTCAATCTTTTCTCGTGCAACAGCTAAGGATAAATTCATTCATGTAAAAACCCTTCAGGATAGGAGGTGATTTTTTCACAATACAGATCTTTCTCTACTCTTTTGATACAAACGTCTTTAGTTGTCCAGACAACAGAATGAGCCCAAGCGACAATCAGTGCAACTATTTCAGCTTGCACTTGATACCAAAAACTGTGCCTTATTTGCAATTTTTTAACTTTGTTAGGTAAAAATCTATTTCCTCTTTGTTACCTAATTTTATCTGTAGCATTTCTTCAATTGTGTTATTTCGGATTTCCATGGGCATTTTATTTCTAAAACCCCTAACTCATTCTGAGCAGCTGCAAATTCAATAATTCCATCAGGGTTGCTACCAAGGAATCAACATGGAAACAGATAAAGACCTGCAGGTTTCACCTTTGATAAAAGCAGCTTTATCTGAAAAGAAGATGTTCAAAATATCTTCAATTAGACAAGGCACATCTTGGTCATTCATTTGCAGGCCGGGTTCTGGTCTTGACATCCACTGTAACAGACAACCAGTGTTTTCCTCTACAAGTCTTCGGTGGAAGAAGTCTTTGTCCTGCTGCATTATCTTTCTGGTTGTTGCTTTGTATTCTGGCTTTGGGTGTGAGACAAAAATAGCAAAAGTCTTCAAATCATTTTTTGCTGTTTGGCTTTGCAATACACGAGTTTGGCAAATCAGTTTTTCAAAGTCCATAAACGAGTTTGGCAAATCACAAAACCTCTGTGGATCCAGCTTGTACGTTCCTTTTTACCCTTAGGCCTGTCTTCATAGCTTGCTTACAGTTTCCTGTAGGCCCATTCATTTTAGGATCTTTTGTTTTGCATATCATTATCGTAGGCTTCCCCTAGCACGCACGAAAGCAAGTCTGCATCATATCCATGTATCATGATCTCGACATCATGGTCCCTTTCTTTGTTTTGTTTATAGGTGCGGTATTTTCCAAAGATTGTTAGACGGTAATGCCTAGTTGAATGATCATTGTTTATTTCGTTTTTCTGATATCACAGTTAGCATTTACGTATGTTTTTGTTTAATTTAGCGTCATTAAGCTTGTTTTAGCATACCTATTCAGCCCTTCCCGTCCTTTCCTATGTTTTCACGTCATACTTTTTACGTATTTCATGTCGTTGATGAAAATTACTCATGATTTTTTAATTAAATAACCTCTTGCTTTAAAGTATATATACAGTATGTCAAGTTTGAATTGGGAGAATGAGTTGAAGTGGCTCAAAGAAGTACAAGAATTTTCTGTGTTTGTGCTGTCTGAGTTATACCGTTAGTCTTTAAAGACAACTGTTAGGATAACTAAAGTCTCGCAACACACAGTGTGACATTTTATGGTGACAGTTAAGAGGGATTCTAACTAAAATAAACGTTTAAACGAGCTCAAAAGATAGAAAGAAGATGGCACACAGAGATGAAAACGAAGCTGATGCAATTCTTGTTGCCCCTCAAAGACCAGTGCCAATTTCTAGGCCTAGAAAAACGATTCTCGATATCCAGCTTTTTACCAGGAAGGACAATAAAGACATAACAGAATGGCTGATGAACTGGAATACTGCAGCATTGTCAAAGGGGCGGACCAATGAGAACCAAATTCAGTTGATCCCAGCATACCTGAGTGGACGAGCAGCCAGAATGTTTTGGATAATCCCATTAGAAGACAGACAAGACCTGGAACGGCTAAAAGAACCCTCTAAGATCTTTTTAATACAGAGGGAAAGAAGTTACTAGCTCCACAGCAGCTGCAAGAGAGTCCAAGGACCAAAATAGTCTGTTGCAGAATTCTCAGAGAAGATTGACAAATTGGTGATAAAGAGACTTGGATAGCCTTGAAAGAAAAGATCGTATAGCGTGTGAAGTTTTCACAAAAGGCATAAAAGAAAGAGTGTGGGAAAATGTTCCAAGAAGCTATTACCGCAGCAGAGCGCAGAGAAGTATTTCTAAATTCATTTGGAAGAAAATGTTGCGTAAATATGATCTCTGATATGGCAACCATCCAAAAATTCAACGAAGAACAGGTGAAAAGCAACAAAGAGATCTGGAAGGCTGTACAGAACTGAAAAAAGCTGTAGAGAGCCTCACCTCCCAAGCAGCCAACCAAGCCCAACTAGCCCCTCAAGAACCAGTTGTTGCACTTCAACCCAGTCGATGTCAGGGAGCTAAACAAACACCCAATGAACATGTTGTGTGCTACCATTGCAACCAGCCAGGGCACATTCAACAAAACTACCCGGAGAAGTCAGCAGCAGAACACAAATCGATCCATACTAGTGTTTGGATAAGAGGTAGAGTAAATAATTTTGATGCTGATTTTTTTGTTGATACGGGAGCCAAGTACACAATAATTGATTTTGATGTTTGGAGAAAATTATGTTTTGATAATAAAATTCTTGATACACATGTTTGTTTAGTTTGTGCTAGGGCAGAGAATCTTAAAGTTGTTGGTGAGGTTAATGTTTAGCCCAAAATTGGCCACCAATGCTTAGATCTTGAAGTAATTTCTTGTAGAAAATTTCAAATTTGATTTTTTTTAGGTGATGATTTTTTGAAGAGCCAGAATGAATAATTGATTATGGAAAGAAATTGTTTATGCTGGGCGCTGCTGAAATTCCTTTTGAATCATTGCCATCTGATTGTGTTGCCATTTTGAAATTTGTTGTGGTTTTGCCTGTGGGGGTACCTGTGCGTGTCAAGGCAGAATTCATGGAGAATCATTGTGGGTTAGCTTGTTTGGGGATTGACAGCTAGCTAGAGCTGATTATCGAGTTTTAGCTGATTCCAATAATTCTGTCTTGATCGAGTTAACTAACACTCTCGCAGTACAGTATCTTTACAGCCTAGTACTTAAGTCGTGCAATTGCAGCCGTTTATATCAGATGTGAATGCCATTCATGATGATTATGCTGCTGAAAACATTTCTGAAGTGCCCATTGAAGACTCAACATCAAACACTTGTCAAGAAAACAACAATCAGATCTGCTTTCAGTCCTTAAGAAACACCATTTTTGGCCAAGGTCGGGACAATTCGCGGAAACACACCTTGTAGAGCAGCCAATCGGTGTGCAGGGGGCCTATCCAGTCAGACAACAGCCATATCGTTTTCCAGAGACCAAACGAGAGCAATTACGAGAAAAGATGGAAAAGATGCTTCTTTCAAATGTCATCCAGCCTTCATCCAGTCTGTGGAGCAGTCCTGTATATTTGGTAGAAAAACCAAATGGTGAATTTTGATTCTGTGTGGACTACCCACGGTTGAATGCCGAGATGAAGAAAGATGCCAACCCCCCTTCTGACGATAGATGAAACACTGGAGGCCCTAGGAAATGCAGCTTGGTTCAGTCCGGTTTTTGGCAAATTGCAGTGAAGAAAAGCGACATCGAAAAAAACAGCATTTGCTACCCATCATGGACACTGAAAATTCTGTGTAATTTCATTTGGCCTAGCCAAGGCTTCTGCCACATTTCAGTGACAGATGGAACTCGTGTTACTTGGGTTGCACTGGACACACTGACTGGTATATTTAGACGATATTGTGGCTTTTGCTGCAACAGAAGAAGAGCATATCTAGTCTTTGTAAGAGTTGCAAAAGCAGGCCTGGCGTTAAAACCTTTAAAGTGCCACTGGATGCAAATATCAGTGAAGTTTCTTGGTCATATCGTCTCAGCAAAGGTGAAATCAGTAAGTTGTTTCCCATTACCTCGGAATTTTACTGATGTTCCAAGTTACCTAGGACTTACATGCAATTACAGATTTTCATTCCAGAGTTTGGCATCCATCTAAAGCCATTAGCTGACCTCACGATGAAAAAATGCAAATTTGTGTGGAATAAAGATGCTCAAAAATCATTTGATGACCTCTAACACTGTCTAACAACAGCCCAAATTTTGAGATGCCCAGACTCCAGTTTACCGTTTTAGCTGTAAATAGATGCATGCGAATATGGCATTGGAGCAGTTCTCACCTAAGACATGCCTAATGGTGAAGTGGTAATTGCATATGCCAGTAGATTGCTGAAGTCCTCTGAAAGGAAATATGGAGTTATGCAGAAGGAAGCATTGGGTATCGTATGGTCACTAAAACATTTTCACCCTTACCTTTATGGCCCTTACAATTTTTGGTTATTACCGATCACAGGCCCCTTTACATGATTAAAGACTGGGAATGGTTGAAGACAATGAGTGCCCCGAATAACCTATTTGCATGATGGATTAGCGAGATTCAAAGTTACGATTTTGAAGTGAAATACAGGCCAGACTTCACTCAAATGTGGATACATTGTTGAGGTACCCTTTAGCGGCAGAAGACAACCGGGAATCCGAAGCAGTGGAAGCCCTGTTTCCCCCTGCCCCGTGACGGAAGAAGATGACATAATGCTGGTAACAGACCTTAAAAAATAGGAACATTGTGACACACAGTTTAAACTTTTGCATATGGTAAAAACCTTAAGATGTAAATTAAAAAAACTGTTCATACAAAGCACGGGAATGTTTTATTATATAATGAGGTCACAGAGTCCTCAAATTCATATTCAAAAAGTAGTTGTTGAATTTTCACTTTTGCCTAACGGTTCATTTCAACTTTTGCCTAACGGTTAGATTCACATGTATTGGGATCAGGCTACAGCAAAACAATGAATGAACACTTTCCTTGGAACAGACTTCTCATTTGCCTTTCTATTTTGTGTCCCCAAGCCTTAAAGTGTTTTAATGAGTATTGTACCCACTGCAAGATCTAACACAGCCTTGGTATTTGGTGATTTTAAACTTTTTTAATTATCCGGTAAAGGGATCTTGTGCTTGACACTTTTGCCAGAGGGTTCTGCTATGGAGATTTTTTCTGGAATAGCTTCATTAATGATTATGTCACTTTCAGATGACTTGTTAGACAGCTGCTCGAAAAATTCACATATGTTGACCTTAGAAGCACCTAACCAGATCTAGTAGCTTTATTCATTCGGTCAAGAAGGCACTTCTTATAAGCATCTTTCTAATTCTTCAGTTGTGTTTTCGAAAATTCAAATGCAAAGAAAGGCTACAAATAAATATATATTTATTTATATATATTACATGTTCTAAAAAACTATAGACTTTAGATAAAATGTTTTTCAAAACTTTAAATAGATAATCTGTAAAAACTATTGATATTATTATATAAAATTAAAAATTGTATCCATAGTAAAAATATTTATAAAATACATTGATCATGTATTGTTATGTATTGTGTGTGTGTGTAATATATTATTGCATTAATTCGACTTTATATGACATGAAAATAAAAACATGGGAAATGATGCCATCCAAGGATTTAAGGATGATAAAAACCTGCAAGTTTGATACCTTCATTTATAATCTTTTGCCCTAATTCCTATTTTGGAATTTTTCGTTACAAATATGAATCTAGAATTACATTCATACTTCAAATCGAAATGAAATGCTACCTGTTTTGGTTGTTGTTAAAAGCAACGATACTTCTGGGAGCAGAGGTTGACTATGAAAAGCTGGGCTAATTTAGGTACTCACTATCCCAGTCGAGCAAAGAGGAGAGCTGTTCCCATTCTTTTTATTTCATGTTCCTCTTTTTGTAGGATGCCAAACGGGGTGTTCTATAACCATGGTTGTTCTCTAACACTTTCAATAAAGACTTAATTGTCAAATTCTTTGATTGTTACTGCTCTTCCTCTTGCTTCCCTAACTTCTTTGGAGTGTGACACTACTACACTGTCAACCCTCAGCTTCACCTCCAAATTTCAATAAATTTCTGGCGCTTCTTGTGCAATTCCACTATTCCTAAAAAAACTGATCAGATCCAAGCCCGAAAATTGCAATCTATCTTGCTTTGCATGCCTGTTGTCATGCGAACAATTAAAAAGTCTAACTTTTTTGCGACAAAACTAGGCCACCCTGCGACAACATCTACATTGATAGACCATGTTCGGAATGCTATTTTCTTGACAAAATCTTTTCACGAGACAACTCAGTAGAAAGTAAGCTTTACAGCTTGGTTCCCCTTCTCCTCTGCATCCAGGAATAATGGCAGCAATTCTCTCTTTCTCTCAAGCATTCTCTGAAAACGACTTTATTTTAAGCTGTATTTTTCAAATCAATTTCATGGAAATTTCAAGGGTAGACAAAATTTTTAACTAGCACACTTCTAAAGGGCTACTGCAATGAAAAAATGGTCCAAAATTTTATTTCCTTTTTCAATTATTGACAATCAGCTGAGTACAAAACTGAAAACAGAACCTCTATATGGTTTCTCAGTTTAAAGTTATGGTGCCTCAAAGTTCGCGATTTTGATAGTTTTCGTACGAAAAAATTGTCCTTCTGTGACGTCACAGTTAAGGCCGACCTCCACTTGGCCGCGCGTACGGTGCGGCCAAGTCAGCGCATGCCCAGTGACTCGGTATGATGCAATATTCTTGCCCCTCACGTTCAAACTTTGTACGCTTTGAAAGTAGAACCTGGTTCTACTCTCAGAGCGGCCGCTCTACGTACGTCGGAGATCATCCAATCAAATTGCAAGGAAGTGAAAGCTAATTAATATTCAGCGCCAAAGAAAGTATGATTTCAAGATGGCAGTGAAGGAAGGTGCAGGCAACATGAACGTGAACGGGATAACCTTAACCTTAACCTCCAAGTCCAACAAGCCCAGCAGCAGCAGCATCAGCGCCCAGCTTTGAAACAAATGAAGATCGATTAGACGAGCTGCTGATAAATGAAGTACAGTTGTACAGATGTCTGTGGGATCCTCGCGCAAGGGCCTACAAAGAAACGCCAAAGAAAAACGAAGCTTGGAAACAGATCTCCACAAAATTAGGGAAGAATGGTAAGTTAATTAGGCTTAGGCCTACTATTTTTGACTAGACTACCTAGTCTAGGCCTGTATTAATTTATAACTTATTTTATTTTTTGTATTATTTTGACTATATTTAGATTTCCGCTGGGGGCATTTGTTGGGGATGGTGGATGCCATGCAGTTGCACCAGAAAGCATAGAAGTATTTAGTTTATGCAAGCATTTCCAGTATTACATTGTTTTTACAGGATTTCGATAAAATTCTTGGAGGCAATTGCTCTTCCCCCCCACTCACAACACCACTTAAAATGGATCACCTTACAAACCCTGGAAGTCTAGGTGGTATGGAGCCCATAATGTTTTGTTCTATTTGGCACTTCCCTTGAAAAGAACTCGATCAAGTTTTAGCTTTTGCAAATATAACTTTATGCAACCCACTTGCCTTTAAAATCTCCTATACATAAAAAGAATTCGGGGCTATGACTTTTTCATTTATTGCCTTTTTCTATAGTTGTGTATTTCTCATTTGCAGATGAAGCTTTGAAAAAGAAGTGGAAGTACCTCAGAGATGGAATGATGAAATGTTTGAAGAAAATTGAGATTGCCAACCGTTCTGGATCTGGGGCACATCGTACTCCAACATGCAAGCATTTCGAGAGTTTGTTGTTTTTAAAGGACTCTATATCAAATGAAGCAACTGAAAGCAACATTGTTCAACCTGATCACACTATAGATAGTGATACTGTATCTGCCAGCTTACATGTAAATTCTCAGCAAATCTCACTCCCACCATCACCATCCCCAGTTGGTGCTCCAAAAAGATCATGTGTTAATTTTGAAAGAAAATTGTTTGAAGAAGCCAGAGAAAGACGTGAGCGCATGGATATACTGCTGATTGAGTCCATTAAATCAAATACGTCAAAAGCATGTGATAGTGATGACAGCAGAGATGATGCAGATTTCCTTTTCTGCAAAAGCCTGGTCTCGTCACTAAAGAAAATGAGACCCAAGCAAAACAGGATGGCCAAAATCGCAATTCAACAGATTCTCTTAAAGTATGAGTTTGAAGAAGACATTGATAACTAACTATTTAAACATCATAACTACTGAGTATTTCATAATGCAGTCATGTGCAAAGTTTAAGACCACCCCACCAATTCAGAGAAATAAACATATTTCCAATAGATGTCTTTTTAGGAATAATATGACATTTCAGAAGACTAAATGGAGATTAGATTAGGTCCACAATGCTCGATGCAAGAGCAGCTTTATTTTGTTGACCTTTACATCCAATTTGTTGCTTGTCACACTCAGATAAGTAGAATAACAATTTTACCCTGTTGAATCTCAGGGAGTGATTTTTTCCAACCTATATGTTTGCAAAAAATTGATTGAAAAATGCACCTTTTATGTGTAGCAATTACATAATCTTTGGCAATAACATGCAATGTATTTGTTTCATCCACACTATTCTGAATCAACAGAAAAATTTAGTGCATTGATTTAATGTGCTTCTATCAAACATAATGCATATACTGCCTATTTTGAGGTTAGCCATGGAAATTAGGAACAATAAAATGTTGCCTTGAAAACTTTTTCACATGACTGTATTAGTTAGGGCATGAAGAGGCAAACACTTTTTCAAACTGTAACTTGCTGAAGACAGTTTTAATACTTGTATACTATAACATCAGTGACCTAGGTGTGGTAAACTTCTCAGCATAATTTATCTTGAACATGAACTTGTCTTCTCATTTTGTTAAGTTATTATATACAGTCCTCATCAAAAGTATTTGATGTGCTTTGAACCTCTGTCCACTGCCAAGGAACTGACCCAACCTCAGAGCAGAAGTAAGCTTTGAAGTTATCTCTAACTTCCTTTGCCAACTGGGAGTAGTTGTTTGAGCTTGTATTTGAAACTTTAAGAAGAGCCTGATTAAAACATTTGGTTCTCCAAGAGCCATTTTTAATCCTTCCATCAATTTCCTCATCTATTAAGTTGCCAGGACAGTATTGGTAACCACTTTCAAAGCATTTGCCTTTCATCAGAAAATTGTTCAATGCCACTATTGACTTTGTGACAGCAATAGCAGTGTCAGTGTTGGCACAAATAGGGCGTCGAAAAACCCGGAATCTTGAAGTTGCTATCCCAAAGCTGTTCTCTACAATTCGACGGGCACGTGATATTCTATAGTTGTTTACTCGCTCTTCTTTGGTCATTCTTTGTCCTGGATATGGCTTCATCAGACAGGGTTTGAGGGGGAATGCGTCATCTCCCACAAAAACATAAGGGTATTTCTTTCTTGTGTTCCCCAATGTACGTGGTGCTGGCAAGTTTAAACAGCCGGTATTTATGGCATGGCCTAAATGACTGCTAGAGAAAACACTGCCGTCACTAAGTCTCCCATAATCACCAATGTCTACCATAACAAATTCGTAGTTTGCATTCACTGTAGCCATTAGCACTATGCTATGAAACTTTTTATAGTTGAAATACATAGAGCCACCCCTAGGAGGACATTGAATTATGACCTGTTTTCCGTCGATGGCACCTACACAATTAGGGAAATTCCATCTATCCTCAAAACCTTTGCTGAGGTCTTTCCACTCCTCAGATGTCTGGGGCACTTTCAAAAAACCCTCTTGTTTCAAAACCATCCACAACACATTACAAGTTTCTTTCACTACTCTCCCAACTGTCGTGCCACTCATTCGGTAACTTGCTGCAATTGTGTTGAATGAGTCACCAGTTACGAGAAATCGCAATGTAACACATAACGTTCAGCTGGTTTAATCGGCTCTCTTCTCATAGCACCATGCAGAATGTGTGGGGCAACAAAGTTTAGCAGCTCCTCGAATTTTGTTGCTGTCATGCGAAACATTTGGAAAAAAAGTTCAGGGTCTGACAACTGGGCCTATACAACCAAAGAATGATATTCTCCTTTCAGTTGTCTCTCCTTGTATATTTGCCTCGTCCAAAATCTTTTATTTCTTGGGAGTTTCGAAAGAAGATAATTTTCAATGTCTTCATAGTCTTGCTCTCTTCTTCGCAGTATTAAAAGGAGAAGCAATCGCCTTCGCTTCACAGCTTCCATGTTGTTTATAATTTTTGGCGCAATTTATTCAGACGTTTGCACGGACAGAATATTTCTCTATGTACGGACCTACGGCCGACCTCCACTTGGCCGTACGTAGTACCGAGTCACTGGGCATGCGCTGACTTGGCCGCACCGTACGCGCGGCCAAGTGGAGGTCGGCCTTTATGATCAAGCAGAGATATCGCAATGGCGTCTAATAGCGGGAACACGAAACCTAGTACAAAACGCGGCGGAAGATCTTGTGTTGCAGGAGGACCTGGAGGCCAGAGCTGCAAAAACACACAGTTTATGGAAGGGGTTTCTATACACACTTTTCCTGATAAAAATTCGGATTTGGGAAGGCACTGGAAGTGGGTAAGCTTTGTTCGCCGGCACAGGCCGAAGTGGCACCCTTCGTCATCACTGATTCTGTTGAAAAAAGTAGCGAAGAGGCATCTGCTCGGAGTACCAGACAGGTGAGACTCATTCATTTGCAAATGTTAACAAACTCTACTCTGTTTTTTTCAATGGTTGTTTGGCCAAAGTATTGTTCAACTGAATTATAGAGAGTTAAATCAAAGTTAGATTAAATTTTAAAATTCCTAATTTTTTATTCAAGATACTACGGCATTCATTAGCAACAACAGACGCGAGTAAGGATTCATTGGCAACAGGCTGGCTGCTGACATCTCAAACGACGTTGCTGAGTTAGGCCTGTAATGCTAGACATAATGAAGGGATCGCAATCTGAACCTCAAAGCAGAGGTGCCATTGAATATAGAATTACCCTTTAGCACAACTTTTGTGCTTTACTTAAAACATTTCACTTCTCTCTCTTTCCAGTTTTAATTGGATGTATCTATAATTTAAATGCATACTCATAAACTATCAACTTTCAAGGAGAAGGGGGTAAGATGCTCCAGCATACAAGGCCCATGGAGCATATTTCAGATTGAGGGGGCTAAAACCTTGTTGGGGGGCTAAACATGCTAAAAAACCAAGATCAAGGCATTTTTGTATAGTTTGAGGTACATTTTGGAAATTATTGGAGGATGGGGGTAAAGCCCCCCTAGCCCCCCTTCTGAGGTTCCTGTCATCATATCTTTGATTTTTGTTTTTTGTAACTGGACACTTTTCAGATTTTATAAAGTGCTAGGACTGCACTAGTTGCCATTTACAAGAAGTGGACAATTATTTAATTGTACCCACATCATTAACAACTGTATATAAAATGTGAAAAAATTAAATTGTCTTTTACATATAGCATGAGGAAGAAGATTATTATGATGAGGCATGCATGGATGACACAGAAGACATTAACATGGAGGATATGGATTACCATAAATTAGAAACTTCAGCTCTTTTAGACCAGGCTACAGTGGCGGTAGGTGCCACCTCAGGGCGGAGAAATTCAAATTGATATTTTCAGGTAGCTATTGGTCTGGTTACTTGGAAAAGTGATGGTGAACGGGGAATCTTTGGGGTTTGTGGGGTAAATACGGGGGTTAAAGTTCGTCATATTAGCATATTACCTCTGCGGAGGAGCCACTGTTTTGTTAACGACTTCAGAGCATGACAAGGGCTTGTTATCATAAAAAAGTAATCTATAGGGAGTCTTTTAGAGCCTCTTCTTTAAATTCCACATATTGCTACAATTAGTGTCGTCACATGACCAATTTTTACCCCTTACCATATTTGGAAGGTGAGCCTTTTCTAACAGAATACCTGAAATTTTTTTTGTTTAATACTCTTAAATGTTACAATAATGTACAAATCAGCAAGATTATTCTACAACCGAACTGTTGTTGATAGATACCCTGAATAACTTTGAGTTAATGACTGTTTTTAACTATGTATAGAATAATGGTTGCGAAGACATGATAATTTATTAGGTCCGTTTGATTTCATGCGCATTTGGTTATTACGTGATGACTCCACATCTCCTTCAGATGCTGGGCAACTTTTTTCGCAATTCATCGCTTTGAAAATATTTGTACAAATAGTAACACAAATATGTAACGCAATGAACTCAATAAATCACTGAAATACTTAGCAGAACAACAAGACCTGTGTGCATCATTACCAAGAAAGAATTGTTTTGCTCTAAGCGTCATTTTCTTTATTTAAGTTGTTATTTTCGCTCTGAAAATTGTATACTCTGTGTACCTTTAAAGTATTGAGGAGGACCTGTTTTATTTATATTTTTAAACATGCAAGGCCTAAGCTGTATTGTTCATTACTCGAGCAAAGATTGTCTGTACAGTAATATTAAAGATTTGTCTGACATAAATAAAGAAAAAATTGCAAAGGCTACTCGTTTACGACTTGGTGGCAAAAATCTCCACGAAGAACAATGCAGCTCCATTCCTGATGAGGTTGATCCAAATAAGCACGGAGTTCACTTAGAACCTTGTTATAAAAAATTTACAAAGATCCTGTCCCGTGAGAAATTCCTCGCAGAAACTAGCACTGAAGCTATTCAGCGTCCACAAACACTAAAGACTGCAGCTACTCAGAGACCAGATGTTTATCCCCAGGTGTGTAATTTTTGCCAAAAGTACCGGGTAAAGAGGCAACAGAAACATCATGTACCAATAACGATCACGACGAAGCAGGCCGAACTAACGTGAAAGAAGATGTCGAAGCCAATACCGATCAGAACATTTATTATGAAATTAAAGATGTTGATCTCATAGCTAAAGAATTTAAACACCATGAATTCTGCTACAAAGAGTTTACAAGGAAAAAGAAGCGCTTTAACTCGGCATCCATCGAAAAAAGTTGTTGTATGCTCTCCATCCTCAGACATCGACATCTTGGTAATTTTATTAAGTATTATTAAAGAGCAAAGTCAAGTATATCTCGATTTTGGAGTTGGTTTGAATAGAAAAGGACTATTTTTGTCTGATATTGAGATGGAAGATGGGTTGAAGAAATGCCTGATAGGCTTTCATGCATTCACGGGGAATAACTATGTGTCTTTTTTTTCCGCAAAGGGAAATCAGAATGTTGGGAGGTTCTCCAGAAGAACAACAGATTTGTTAACACATTTTCTCTACTTGGGCAGGTATGGGAACTTGATGAGCAAATATTTGTTAACCTTGAAGAATATGTTTGCCATTTATATGGATATCGGCAAAAAATGTCAATGATGTGAGGAAAAAATTATTTGGCAAGAAGTATGTAAGGCAAGGCAAAGCCATAGACATTTCACTCTTGCCTCCATGCCAATCATCACTGAGGCTACACATATTGCGATCAAACATCATTGCAAAGATTTGGAAGTCATCGGGTGAAAGGTCCATAAATTTGACAGATCTTTCTACTTCGTGACCTTCGGAGATGATAAAGAGAGTGAAAATGAAACCTAAAATGGATAAACAATGACAAATGCAGGTATCTTTGCCTTAACTTGCATCTTTTAACATTCAAGAGTATCAAACAAAGGAATACGTGGTACAAAAAAAGAACAAAGGTATTCTGTTAAAAAAGCTCACCTTCCAAATATGGTAAGGGGTAAAAATTGGTCACGTGACTACTCTTATTGTAGCAATATGTCGGAATTTAATGAAGAGGCTCTAAAAGACTCCCTCTAGATCATTTTTTATGATAACAAGCACTTTCACTTATCTGAAGTCGTAAACAAAACAGTGGCTCCTCCGCAGAGGTAATATGCTAATATGACGAACTTTAACCCCCGTATTTACCCCATAAACCCCAACAATTTCCCCTTCACCATCATTTTTCCAAGTAACCAGACCCATAGCTACCTGAAAATATCCATTTGAATTTCTCCGCCCTGAGGTGGTACCTACCACCACTGTAGCCTGGTCTATTTCTACAGATGATGAGAATGATGAGGATGTTGATGATACTGATGACGATAAAGAGTTTGATGAATCAAAAAATAACATAGTTTGGTAAGTAGATTAACTTCCCAAGATTCACTTTTCTTTCAGTTTACATCTAATTTTTCATTTATCATATCAGCATATTATCAAATACAATGAACTACAATTCTTGTCTAAAAACAGGGTAAAAGGTAGTTTTATGATATTTTTATTCTAGGGTTGACAGTGACACAGGGCCTGTGGATGAACCAAAATTTGTTGTTTTCTACAGCATGCTTGTGCAAATATTCAGCCTATTCTGTTTTAATTGCAAACATGAACAACCAAAAGTTCAAGTGCTGGCAAAAGGCTCAATGGTAACAGTTGTGCAGGACTGTCTTACCTGTGGCAAGGTTTACAAATGGCACAGCCAACCATTTACTTTTGGGAAGTATCCTGCGGGAAATGTGATGATGAGCTTTGGTATTCTCATGTCTGAAGTTCAAATAAGCCAAATCCTTCTTGCTTTCAAGCATATGGGTTTATCTGCCATTTCTCCAAGGACATACTTTTACCATCAGAGCAAGTTGCTGTTTCCTTCTGTTATCCTGCAATAGAAAAAGTACCAAAGTGATCTGATCAAAAGATTGCAAAATCTCAACGACGTGACATGGTCAGGTGATGGACGATTTGATTCCATGGGACATAATGCCAAATATGGAACGTATACTATGTTTTGCAATAGCATCTCAAAATTGGTCCATTTTGAACTGTTACAGGTTTGTACAAACCAGCCATTGTCACTCTACCTCTAGTTTTTCTTCTAAAATGCTTTAATTGAGTAGTTAAATGAAAACTCTAAGAATGACAGTAAACATTTGGCAAATGATTGTTCATTAAAAAAAATTATCTGTGCCACAATTTCAGCCCCATGCATATATATTTCTCATTTGCATCTATTTATATTTTGAATGTGGTATAATGATAAAATTCTAAGATTTAGTTGTCACCACTTTTTAATGAAGTTTATAAGAATAATTAAGTTTGAATCCTATTTAATTCCAGTCAAACCAAGCTGGTAGTAGTAACAACATGGAGCCAGTCGGGGCACAGCGTGCATTCAAGTTTATCAAGGATAACAATTTAAACATATCCATATTTGTCAGTGACCGCCACAGAACCATTGCCAAATGGATTCGTGAATGTGAACCACAAACAACACATTTCTATGATCTTTGGCATGTCTGCAAAGGCATTTCTAAGAAGATTAGAACTGTGGGACAGGAGAAAGGGAACGAAATTTTATTATGTTGGATGAAGGCAATAAAGAAGCACCTGTACTGGTCGGCCACTTCAACACAGCAAGGCTTTGGTAATCTCATTGTCGCAAAGTGGGCGTCATTGATCAGGCATGTTGCCGACAAGCATGATAATCATCCTAATGAAATTTACAAGGAATGTGCTCATGATGAACTAGAGGCACGGGATTGGATTTATGTTGGTATGTTTATATATTAATCTTTTTTGAAAAAATTTCTTTTTTGAAAGGGTTCTTCGAATGTTTGATTTTAATTAAAAGAACTTCTAAGTGTTTTATGCACACACTAGTTAATCATATTGCAAATAAATGAAATTTAGACAACATTTACCAAATGTTTTCTAATTCTCCACAGGAACTCAGCCATATGATCGTCTGAAAACAATCATTCTGAACCATCAAGTAATTGAGGATGTACGCAAACTTTCAAGTGATGCACAAACCAGCTGTCTGGAAGCATTCCATTCCCTCTTGAACCAATGGCACCCAAAAATGACACACTTTTCTCGGCTTGGTACAAAGTGCAGGTATAAATGAAATATGTCAACTATTCCTCATAAATTTCAAAGTCTCTATCAATTTTTTCATTTTCATTGTCATTCAAGGAAAAAATCACAAGAATGTCACTTTTGAATAATCTACCTAAAAACAGAGCTGGATATTTGAACATATTTGGAAAAATTGTTCTTCTGTGTATTCTTCTATTCCTTCATATGTATTTACTTTTGAGTCATATGATTCTTTGAATATCAGTGAAATATCTAATTTGATAGCTTGTCATTTGCCATTTCAGGCATATTCTTGCCATTTGTCATTTCAATGAGAATGTTTTGAGACAGCAAAACCAATTGCAAGATGGTTCACTTCAATACAATGTTGTGTACCCAAAATTCAAGCTTGGAGAAGAAGTAGTTAAAGAAGTAGCTGTTCCACCAACATATAGTAAGCAGAACATTGGGAAATTGTGATCATTGTATTTCTAATTGTTGAATGTCTAATTGTCTCAAACTGTATGTATTCTGTAATATAATATCATACATATATACTCCTTTACATGACAGGATATGTGTGTGATATCAAGAATACAATGCTCTCCAGCACATTGAAAGAAATGAAATACATCTTTGACCTAAGCAAAGAACATGAGCCTGAACCGTTAGACGGGCAATTTGAAAGGAAAAAATCAAAGGCAGAAGCTATCAGACACCACCTTCAAAGAAAACAGACAGCAACGACACTTTTCCCAGATGGTATAGAAATTGTTTTTACCAAATCTGATTGTATTGATACCAGTGTTCATTTTTATAGGAATTAAATAGATAACATGCAATAAACATACAGTAAATATAGTTTAGCGTGTTGCATGTCCATGAATAATAACAAAAAATATATATAATTAAACAACAACTTTGCACATTTGAAAGTTTAATATTATCGTGACATTTGGAGCATAACTCTTTATAGGGGTAATAAACATAGAACCTTGCATAGTAGCCTAGAAAACATGGATGCAATAATGTTTTTGCATTAACAATATGTTTACAGCAAACCAGCAATACAAACTTAAAGAGGATGAGCAGCAACAGATGAATAGCAAAAAGGAACACTGCACACGCACTTGTCGCAAATGTCATCAACCCATGAAGGGTCATCCACGAGGAAAATGTCCTTCACCTGCTTTATCTTGATAACCTGTTTGCTTGTTTGATTTTGGTATGCTTATACACTCAGATTTGAACATAGTGAAAAAAGTTTACGAAAACCATATCATTTCTACCTTTCAAATAGATGTTCTAATTATTAGTTCCCTTTTGTGGAAAAGAAACCTTAAACTTCCTTTACCAAGTTAAAATTTTTCAAAGAATAACAGCTGACTTTTTTCAATATTATATTCAAACCCGTTCCAGAGATGACATGTAACCTTTGGATTGATTTGTTGGATATCGCGATCTTAAATCATTGTAAATGCATGCAGGCAATGGGCGAGTGTTGCTCCATCCTAGGTAACCAAACAGGTATCTTGCAACCCATCTGTAGCCAACAGCCCTCATGAACGTAAAATGAAATTCTGTATTAATTAAGTGAACCTGGGTTTGATTCTAACCCCCATTGAGTTTAATAACTTGTGAAATCTTACTATTCGAGTTTGCCTAAAGAAGTTTTTAGAAACTGCAATAGCCTGATAAGTTGTGAGCCTTTATTGTGTTTGCTAATAATTTGACAGTGATTTGATGGTATTATTTGTAATATGAAATAAATTTATCCTTACCCCTTAACTTACCCCTGGTTGAAATGTGAATAAAAATGGTGAAACTGGTTATTACCCATTCTCGCTCTGATCGGCTCTTTTCTTGTATCTTTTCCCGTCTCTCCCCTTGAGTAACAGGCTCACATTTGTCAGAACCACATTACATGTAATTGACTTTTCTTGTATTATCGGCTCTTTTCTTGTATTTTTTCCCGTCTCTTCCCTTGAGTAACAGGCTCACATTTGTCAGAACCACATTACATGCCCTCAAACGCTGTGATACATCGGGTGTCTTCTGCAACGCCCACCAGTTTCTCGATCGCCTCTTGGACTTCCCGGCAACATCGGTATTCCAACGAACCAGTTAATAAGTCGATATGACATTCTCCACAACGGCACCTACCAGTTGTAATAAAAACAGGACTATTTTGTTGTTGTTAACTAAGAAAAACGCTTTTGCATCACCAGAAAACTCGCGAACGAAACCAAATCAACAGAACTGACGCCACCCAAACAGATTGAAGAATCTCCCTCTGCTGCCCGTATGTGCCATAAGTTAAATTGGAAACGAAAATATAAAGCCAAAACTTACCATTCTTCAACAAAATGATGGCCTTCGTAACGAGCTGCCAACGTCTCACGAGAAAGACCATCTTTGTCATCCCTGTTGTCTTGTTGTCCTCCCCCTGGCCTAGCCAACGGCTCGCCTTGATAAGGAACAGCAGCCCCCAGAAGAACAACCCCGTAATTCTCTTCATCCGAGGTTTCCGAAGAAATACCCGCTGTTGAAATACTTTCATGGTCACTAGTATTACTTTCTGACATCTTTTTGGTGGAAATACTTTATATACGAAAAAATCAGCACCTTTTCCACCAGACCGGTCAGAATTTATCAGTGGTTTGTATATGAAGTTAATCGAGGTGATCATAATTGTGACGTCACACATGGCGCGTTTTTTTTTCGCACGACCTGCCCACTTTCAAAGGGCAATAAAATCCATAAGAAAAATGAAAAGGTCGACGAGAAAGATACCATTGCACTCAGAAAATACTGAATTTTCAGAAAATCAAATAAAATCTGGGTCGATTTTTTCATTGCAGTAGCCCTTTAAATAGAGCTAGTAGAAATTTAGAGATTATAAAAATTTTGTTAAAAGAACTGCTTGAAATTATACTTTAGTTGACGGTATTCCTTCTCAACGAGAACAGGCAACTAACCCTATGCTTGCTGGTAAACAAAGAGTGAACTAGGGCTTAGTTTTCTCCTAGCTTGAAAATACTTCGAAACTTCATTCTGGATCTGAGATCAAAATATCCACAAGTTTCATTCTTCGAAGATGTCTCCTGGCATACTGCTCTATGTATGTGTAGCAAAGCCAGGAAATTCAGCCTATCTTGACTCATAGTGCTCCTTAAGTACGTTTTTACAAATATCGAGCTTTGAATTTCAATTGAATTTCCTGCACATCATTCATGTCAATATCACTCATTAAACACCTGGGATATTTTACTTGTTTGGTTTCAATTATGTCTTCCACAATTTTTAGCCATTTTGAGCTAATTTCTGGCGGAAGTTCATCATCCCACTTTATCTTAAATTCGCAAATATTTTGAAAGATTTCCTTCAACGGAACAACGACTGGCGATAACATACCGAGAGGGTCGTAAAATGGGGTGGTAGTGCTAAGTACAACACGTTTAGTTACGCGTTTGCTTAATGACGTAGTGATAAGGTTAGAAAAAGTCGCTTCTAAGTTGTCTTCATTTAAGTGCCACGTTAATCCCAAAACTTTTACGTTTTCTTCACTGCAAATTATGTTGCGAATTTGTTTTCTTTTTCGAGTTTCTGTTTTTCGGCTTCTTCGATGCGAGATATTAGCAATTTGTTATTAGAAGCCCATTTGCGCATGTTAAAGCCTCCTTCTGCGAAAATTGTTTTGAGTTTTCGACATAGTTCAAAACACTGTTCTTCAGAATTTTGTGAAGATGCAAAATCGTGGATGTATAAGGGATTTTTGACTGTCGAAATAAACTCAAGATACATTTGACGATATTTGTTCAAATGGTGTCCAATTGTGGCATTTAGTACACACAGAGATCCTGTTAGGCCAAATACAAGCCGCGTAAATCGAAATGTTTTTAGTGTTGGATTATCTACAAAAACATCGTCATACCGAAGGAAGTGGAGATACTCTCCATGACTAGGGTGGATAATGATATTTAGGAACGCTTTCTCTAAATCTCCAATTAAGGCTGCCTTTTGTGAGCAAAATTGCAATAAGATGTCGAAAACCAAGGGCACTAAATTTGGCCCAGAATCAAAATGTTCGTTCAAGCTAGTCTCGTTTTTACTTTTACTGCTCGCATCATAAACAACTTGCAATTTTGCTGTTGGCCGATCAGCGCTAATAACATCTCTATGCGGGTTATAATAAACATTTCCTGCATTAGATTCGTCAATGTGAGAAACTTGTTCAATGATACCTGCATTTAATTGGTCTTGAATTACGTTATTAGAATCTTGCAAAGTCTCAGGATTTCTTTTCAAACGATTCAATAATGAATTTAAACGTTTCTGAGCAATATCGTAATTATCAGAGATGGACGAATGTTCGTCTTTGAATGGCAATTGACATTCATATTTGCCTGCTTCGTTATCAAATTCAATGTTATCTTTAAGAGGATTAACTTCATCATTAGTTGTGAGGGGTCTTATTTTTGATCCCCAATGTTTCGTAATCCCAAAATTTGTGAAGGGGGTCGTGAATTTCTTCTTGCTAAGTATCAACTAAAGTAGCACCAATTTTCAAAGTATGTGCTATGATAACGTATGAAGAGTGTTCATTTGTTGTCTGCAATATTATGGGACCGTTTAGAACATATCCAAAGCGAGTCAAGGTGGCAACAGGACCCAGGCCATGTACAACATGGTCAACCAAGAGACTCCAGATGTGATAGGCTCCAATAAGAACATCAATTTCTAAATTTTCAGCCTTACCCCCATCGGCTTATGGTAAGTTTCTTAAATGGGGAGAATTCCAACGAGCAAAATCAATCGCTTGACCAGAAATTGGACTGTAAATAACGTCTACTATGTATGAGTTTATAAAAGATTGTCCGCACCTCTTACAGCCAATTGTACAATATTACAATATTTAAGTGTACCTTGTTCATTGCCAAATTCCTTCATGAGAATTTTATCGTTCAATTTGGTGTATGGTAACTGCAATTTTTCCCTTAAACGTTTTGTTATGTATGATTTTTGGGAACACAAGTCCAAAATGATACGGACATTACATGATTGATAGTCATCATCAACCCTATGGACAGTTTCTTTTGCTGTTTGTAATAATATAGATACATTGTTGTCATCACGAGTTGTGAGTAGAGATGTACTTACAGGTGGTTGCTGAGCAACCTTTGCAGACTGTTGTTGTGTTGATGGATACTGTGTGACTGCTTGAGGGTGGCTGTCCGGTTGAGATCCGCATATTGAGACATGATGTTTTCCTCTGCAGATGTAGCATTTCGATCTGCTGTTGCATTGTTTACTAATGTGTCCTCCTCTGAGACAAATAAAACAACACCGTTTTTCCTTAAAAATTTGTTTCCTAACGTTTGGGTTGGTGACCTTAGTGCAACTAGATGAAAAATGTTGTTGACAGCAAAATAAACACGTTGGTACCCTTTGACCATCTTGATTCACCATTAATGTAGCTGTAGTTGCTGGTGCTTCTTTGTACATTCCATTTCTTGACTTTTTGTGTCTTTTTATTCAAAATGGGTGCAAAGGCGCATTTTTCTCGCAATGCGAGCTCTTTACCAAAGTTTTCGAGCACACCAGTTGAATCCTATTCCTCTCAAAGATTTCTGCTTATTATGATCTGCAATTCGCTAGGAACTTTCACCATGATAATGGGAGTTAAGATTGTTCCATAGTTGTCTTCTGTCACGCCCACTCCTCTCAAGCTTCGTACCGTTGCTTCTGTCTTATCAAATAGACAGCAAAGTTTATGCAAATCATTGCTTGATTCTATGGTTGGCAAGCCTATCAATGTCTCAACGTATGTAGATATGATAATTTGCTTATTTCCATAGCTTTTATGCAGAAGTTCTAATGCTTGGTTGTAGTTTCTATTTGATATTGGCAAACCTGCAATGGTTTCTGCGGCGTTTCCTTTCATTGCTTGTTGCAAGTACTTAAATTTATCAATGTCTGCAAGGCTTGAACACTCCTGTATTGTCGATGAAAAGCTTTCCCAAAAGCTTGTCCACTGCGTTATGTCTCCATCAAACGAGGGTAAGCTAAGTTTCGGAAGTTTAACTTTGATGTTATCCATTGAATAACTGCTGCCGAAACTGTAATCTAAATTTCCTTGCAAGTTTGTAGTTGGTTCCGGTTGCGATTTCTCTACAATTGCATTTGCTATAAGGCAAAGAATGTTTTCGACTTCCGATTCCAGTTTACTGCGATCTACAATCTCCTTCTCCACTGAATGACTATCACAATTTTCCAAAATTTCATTATCGATTTCTTCTACAGTAGTACGTTTATGTTCTATAAGGTTTCTTATTGCTTCTAATTTAGGCTTAACCTCAATGTCAATGTTCAGCTCCAGATGGTGGCAATAGCTCCTTTGCTTTGTTGATGTTATTTCTTAGAACCAGGCGATGTCCGTTTCTAGTAACGTTTTCGATGAAGTTCTTTCTCCACCATTGTCGTTACCTTCCCGGGTCACCAAAATATTGTAATTTATTAGATTGTGATAGATGCGTGCGTTAAACATACACGAAAGTCTCTGATCCTTACATCTCGAAGGAAGACGCGAAGAAAAGATGATGGTTATAAGTTTAAGCCATGATGCTGAAACGAACACGCAAATGAATATATATACTACATAATGCTTTTAACGATGCTAAAACGAACTGACTTATAATTGACTACACCCATCAATCACGGTCTAAGAAGTCATAGGGTGTCCATAACAATTTTCTACACAGCTTGTTGAACATAGAAGCAAGAAGGGATGTTTTAGAAACAGATTTCACTACATCAATATCAGAGGCTTGCAACTTCTTAGTAAGTGGTCTTGTGACATCCAAAGTTCTTGAAACAATTACCAACGTTACGATAAACTGAAAGATACAGTGTTGAAGAACAGTCCAGATGTGTCACATGAAGAATCGGTGTTCTATGATCTGTTGTTGTTGTCTTTGATTTGCTCAAAAGCAGCAGCCATGAAAGGAAACAGCTCAATGAAAATGTCAAGACCATCGATTCGAGAAACCCATCTGGTCCTGCAGATGTCAATTAAATGTTGGTAGTTACTTTCAGGAATTAGCAATCGTACCTGTTCCTTCAAGAGTTTATCAGGTTTTGGGTGTGCATTGAAAAACTATGAAACGATTCGTACATGTGACATCATATTTTTTACCTCTTGAATCTGACATGCAGAGACTACACACAAGTTGAGCAAATGTGAACGGCAGTAAACATAGAGTGCTTTTGGGAATGATTGCTGAATCCTTGCCGCAGTGCCAGATAATTTGCCAGTAATATTACCGCCACCATCATAGCCTTGGCCTCAATAATTATTCATATTGAGTCCAAGACTAGGTATTGTCTCTTTTATCTTTGAAGAAATAGCCTCACCTGAAATACCTTCATCACATGGGGAGCAAATCCAAACAAATCCTCTCGTATGCTTCCATCTTTTTTCGATAAAGCGAATAACAAGGGCCATTTGCTCTGTGTTGCTAATGTCTGCTGCTTCATCAGCTAAAACCAAAAAGAACTGTGCCTCCTTCACCTCTTTCGTCAAAGTTTATGTGATAATCTCACTACAAATGTTTATCAGCTCATTCTGGGTAGTTTTGATCAATATTTGGCATTTCTTGGCGTAAGAGCAAAATGCTGATCAAAAACTTCAATTTGACCGCATTTCTTCAAGAAAGCAAAAATCGCTTGAAGATTGCTTGGGTTATTTAGAGCAGCTTGTAAATACTCCAGATTGTCTAGGTGACCTCTAAGGGAAATGTTTTGACAACCACATAAAATGACAACCTCAACAATATGAATCTCATTTTTTCCTGTTCAGCCTTACTTGTTCACTAATTTGTGAGTGCATCATATTGTCTATGGATACTCTCCTGTTTTCCATGCATTCACGAATCTGTGTTGCTCTTAAGGTTGTGATTTTATTGAACTGGAACCTAGTACAGTGATCATTAAATCTTACAGTGACCTTGGCCCAATCACTAAATGGTGCTTTAAAAAGACCATTGATTTTGGAAGAATTATGATTGCTGTCTCCACCAAACAACACGCAAATTATCGCAGAAAGCCCCGTCAAGAGCATCTGGAAAAGCAAGCGATTTGAAAGTGTCCAACCATTGATAGCGAAGTCTTGGCTTAGACCCATCGGCTGGAAAAATGAAATTCTGCCCAGGCTTCCAAAAGTTGCACAGAAGATCATATCTAGCATCCTTAGTAGGGATAGACACAGCATTATAATGATATCCAATGCCTTTATTATGAAGTATTCCTGATATTAAAGCTGTTGTTTTTTCCTTTGGCTCCTGTGGGACAATGATATTTCCCATTGGTGCTGAAGCTTGAGATAGTTGTGCAACTTGCGATTTTGATGCAACTTGAGATGGTGGTGCAGATTGAGTTTCGGAGGAATCACTACAGGTAGCAACAACTGGTCTACAGATTCTCAACGTTCTGCATGGAATGAGCTCGTGAATTTTGACTTGTTTCTGCTTCATAGCGACAGGCAGTTGTTGGAACGTTCTTCCACTTATTCTTCTAATTTAGATTCGAGTATAACAACAAATCGACATATGCTCTGAAAGAAGAGGAAAGTGAAAGCTTGGCGTATAACTTGACACAAAAATGACACCAATTCTATAAGCAGAATACCAATTAAGTCTAATCTGGACACCCTTAAATTATACTAAATTTTATCTAAATTTTGCTATAAGAAATTGTCCCATTATCCAATATTAGTTGTTCTGAATGAATTTTTTTAACTTTCTTCATGGAATATGATGGTGCTTCAATTAAAATTTCAAAGGAAAGTCTTATACCATAAATTCCAATTTGTAATGTGTCAAGTTTTGCTATTGATTGATTGCATGTAATTAGGGTTTGTAATCTTGTGTTATTGGGGATCTCGTGTTATTAGGGATCTTGTATTTAAACAATCTTTTGGTGGTACAAAACTTGTAAATAGCTTTGAAAAAAGCAAACATTTAGTAAACTAAAGCTTTTCGTCTGACACTCTTCAGAGTTTAAAACGTCAGAACATAGATCGAAAACTCTACGCTAAGAAATATATATACCCAGTTGTGGATCGAAATAGGCCAATCAGAAACACAAGCACATGACTGTATAGGTTGACCAATCAGTGCCGCTTGCCTATTGAGAATGTTACCAATGAAGTCCTAAGGTGAAAACGAACTCCTTTTGTCTACACAGTAGCGGTTTTTCGTGCTGATGTAGATAGATTCCAAAACTGCTAGGTGGAACGACGATCGGGCTTTACCAATAATCCGAAACATATATCCTGGTCAATAATCCGTAGTTTGATTACGTTGACATTTATCCTGGTCGCCATGTCAGCTTAGTTTCGGAGATGAATCAATTAGGAACCATTGATGGACCTACCCTGGATTCAACATGTGACAACGTTCTGACGTTTTAAACTCTGAAGAGTGTCAGACGAAAAGCTTTAGTTTACTAAATGTTTGCTTTTTTCAAAGCTATTTACAAGATCTTGTATTTATATACTACATAATCAGTCCAGTGTCATTCTGTCCAGTGTCATTCGGTCTGTCTGATTAATGCAATACAATCATATTTTCACGGCAGTAAAATTTCATGCTGTAGAAATGACAAGTGACAAAAGAATGGAATGCCACTTCAAACGGTTTTGTTGTATTAGCCAATTACTAAGGCAGTGTATGCCCTTTAGTCAAATTGATGCCTTTGAAAGTTTCCTTTGCGGTGGTTTTTTCGTGAAAATAGCAGTTTGTTTGTGTGACGTGTCATCCATATCAGTTTCAAAAACTCACCTATGTAATTGTAATCCAAAAAAAGCTGATGGTGCCAATTCAATCAACAAATGCTTCATTTGTGAATAGCTTTTATTATCTCTATGATGAAAGAAGACAAACGGTAGTTTGAAAGACAATTTATGGAGTATTGTAATCGATTATATGATATCCTTTCTCTTTGTATATTCAAAGAGAATCATAATATCATAGTTACACAAAAATTTCCTGAATTCGGAGTAAAGCCCCGTACTTGAAAAAACACTCTAGACTGAGGGGCAAATCACCGGTTGAAACCCTATAGCTCTTTTTGAAAATCCCTAGAAATCATCTTGTTTTTAGGGAAACTGGCAAGCTATTTCAAAAAGTGAATTGCCCCTTGCTTCTAACGACAACAACAATAACAACTGTACCATTTCTACTTCCGAATAACTTCGTAATAAGAAATTAATCTGTTAAATAACATGACCTGCTTACAGGCCAAAGTGAGCCCCTATCTCATTGGGTTCTTGAGCGTCCACAATGACAGCATTAAATAGTCAGCTCCCTTAAATGACATACATAACAGACATTAGCAAACATACATGTTTTGTCATCTCTCTTTCAAAAAACTCAAATCCTTGTTGTCAGTTATTTTTCGAAGCCCTGTTACACACAGAACGTTACAAAAGCCCCAATTGAAGAGAGTGCTCTCCAACTGGCTCATGATAGCAGATTCAGACCAATTATAGAGCTGGATTTTCCTTCAGTTGCTCAGTAGTTTGATTGGCTATCCAGCGCTTTCTGGAGCACATTTTCATCACTTGGAGCGAAATCCAGTGGTCTGATTGGTTTATTTGACCATGACGTGTTTCAGGTAGAGCAAAATTGTGAACATCTCCTCCACAGTCAATACATTAACAACTCAAGCGACAAAATGTAAACAGGTTCTCCAATGGACCTATCTAGTCCACAAAGGTTGTTTCGGGGAATCGGGAAGTACAAATTTATGACCTATGAAGTGTCAGAGCTAAGTTTAAATCAAGCAGGCACAATGAAAAAAATAGGAAATTTTGCCTGGAGCAGCTGCTCTGTCACCCGTTCCTCTCGTTCTAAATGGGTTGAACCTTCAATTCTAAATTTTGGAACGTGGATTCTATCTGCTAATAAAGGACCGTCTCTGCCATCCGATGACTTAGATTATGGGTTGAATCCACTTATATGCTCCAAATGCTCGTCAGTGTCTCCAGTATATTGTTTTACTCTGTTGCCATGAAAACCGGTGTATTCATGATCTGAAAATGGCGCCGAGTAGGTTTCGCCCGTTTAGACAAAAATAAAGATTCGTCCAACCACTGGTATTTGTAAGAGCCGAACTTCGACAATGAAATTTTCAGATCTTGCAACGGAAAGGAAACCAGTTGTTCCAAACTTTGGAAATCAGGGAAATGAAATAAACATCGGTCTACTGCATTCTCAGATTGGGAGAGACAGCGATGGGGGCCTACTGTCGTCATATAGCTTCTGCATCCAGCGAAGAACCTCCAGTAAATGAATACCAGCGCGAGAAGGCGTGGGCAAATGCAAGGGCAGAATTACGTTCGAAATTTATAGAATCATTTATTTTACCGAAAAATGCAGTATGCCGAAATTGCTTCAAAACAACAGGGAAGCGGCAGGGAGCAGTTTTTCGCTGCAACGATTGCGGGCTAAGTTTCTACCATTGCCTGACTTGTGCCACAAAGATACACAGTTGTGTAGATTTGTTTCATTTGTTTGAAATATGGAAGATATACTTGACATTTTAATAAATGTACCATTCTTTCCATTTTTGATTAGTTAATAATAGCTTGACACATCTTTAATACACCATTTCGGAGATCGCGACGCCATATTCCAAGTGGGGAAAACCCTGGGTGGCTCCTCCGCAATTAGTTAATGGCCGACCACGAAAACAGATAGTGTGATTAGAGAACCTTCTAAATTAGGTCGTTTTAGATATTAAATTGCGCCAAGGATTTAATACTGGCAAAACTTATACGTTATTTATTGTTGTTATTCCTAATTTTGTTGTCTTTTTGGCAGTTTTCATCTGTTTTTGGAGATAAGATCAAGAAGAGTTTCATCCATTTGTTTGGGCCTAGGCAATTCAGTACGATACTTTACATTTCATTTACTTTCTCTTCACCTTCGAACTCACTTGGTCGTTACTTTTTTTCGTTTTCAGTCATACGTTGAGTGGTCTTTTTGTATAAATTCTTACTATTCTATTTTGTTTCGATACAAACATGGGGAAGAATGATAGGTGCTGTGTTGGCTCATGTGACAATGACACGAGGTACCCCGATAAGTTGGTGAAAAGGAATCATGTTGAAAAGCTAAGGTGGCATCGCTTCACAGAAGACCCAGGAAAATGGAAACAGTGGATATCTCTTATTAGCAAAGGCAGAGCAGATTTTAATCCTGGTCCTTGGACGTATGTATGCTCTAACCACTTTGTTGATGGTAAACCCACAACCCAAAATCCTTTGCCAGTTCTATACCTATCTGCCTCAGAAAAGCAGAAGCAATATTGCATTATATTAAAAAAAGCTGATGGTGCCAATTCAATCAACAAATGCTTCATTTGTGAATAGCTTTTATTATCTCTAAGATGAAAGAAGACAAACGGTAGTTTGAAAGACAATTTATGGAGAATTGTAATCGATTATATGATATCCTTTCTCTTTGTATATTCAAAGAGAATCATAATATCATAGTTACACAAAAATTTCCTGAATTCGGAGTAAAGCCCCGTACTTGAAAAAACACTCTAGACTGAGGGGCAAATCACCGGTTGAAACCCTATAGCTCTTTTTGAAAATCCCTAGAAATCATCTTGTTTTTAGGGAAACTGGCAAGCTATTTCAAAAAGTGAATTGCCCCTTGCTTCTAACAACAACAACAATAACAACTGTACCATTTCTACTTCCGAATAACTTGGTAATAAGAAATTAATCTGTTAAATAACATGACCTGCTTACAGGCCAAAGTGAACCCCTATCTCATTGGGTTCTTGAGCGTCCACAATGACAGCATTAAATAGTCAGCTCCCTTAAATGACATACATAACAGACATTAGCAAACATACATGTTTTGTCATCTCTCTTTCAAAAAACTCAAATCCTTGTTGTCAGTTATTTTTCGAAGCCCTGTTACACACAGAACGTTACAAAAGCCCCAATTGAAGAGAGTGCTCTCCAACTGGCTCATGATAGCAGATTCAGACCAATTATAGAGCTGGATTTTCCTTCAGTTGCTCAGTAGTTTGATTGGCTATCCAGCGCTTTCTGGAGCACATTTTTATCACTTGGAGCGAAATCCAGTGGTCTGATTGGTTTATTTGACCATGACGTGTTTCATGTAGAGCAAAATTGTGAACATCTCCTCCACAGTCAATACATTAACAACTCAAGCGACAAAATGTAGACAGGTTCTCCAATGGACCTATCTAGTCCACAAAGGTTGTTTCGGGGAATCGGGAAGTACAAATTTATGACCTATGAAGTGTCAGAGCTAAGTTTAAATCAAGCAGGCACAATGAAAAAAATAGGAAATTTTGCCTGGAGCAGCTGCTCTGTCTTCCGTTCCTCTCGTTCTAAATGGGTTGAACCTTCAATTCTAAATTTTGGAACGTGGATTCTATCTGCTAATAAAGGACCGTCTCTGCCATCCGATGACTTAGATTATGGGTTGAATCCACTTATGTGCTCCAAATGCTCGTCAGTGTCTCCAGTATATTGTTTTACTCTGTTGCCATGAAAACCGGTGTATTTATGATCTGAAAATGGCGCCGAGTAGGTTTCGCCCTTTTAAACAAAAAATAAAGATTCGCCCAACCACTGGTATTTGTAAGAGCTGAACTTCGACAATGAAATTTTTAGATCTTGCAACGGAAAGGAAACCAGTTGTTCCAAACTTTGGAAATCAGGGAAATGAAATAAACGTTGGTCTACTGCATTCTCAGATTGGGAGAGACAGCGATGGGGGCCTACTGTCGTCATATAGCTTCTGCATCCAGCGAAGAACCTCCAGTAAATGAATACCAGCGCGAGAAGGCGTGGGCAAATGCAAGGGCAGAATTACGTTCGAAATTTATAGAATCATTTATTTTACCGAAAAATGCAGTATGCCGAAATTGCTTCAAAACAACAGGGAAGCGGCAGGGAGCAGTTTGTCGCTGCAACGATTGCGGGCTAAGTTTCTACATTTGGCTGACTTGTGCCACAAAGATACACAGTTGTGTAGATGTGTTTCATTTGTTTGAAATATGGAAGGTATACTTGACATTTTAATAACTGTACCATTCTTTCCATTTTTGATTAGTTAATAATAGCTTGACACATCTTTAATACACCATTTCGGAGATCGCGACGCCATATTCCAAGTGGGGCAAACCCTGGGTGGCTCCTCCGCAATTAGTTAATGGCCAACCACGAAAACAGATAGTGTGATTAGAGAACCTTCTAAATTAGGTCGTTTTAGATATTAAATTGCGCCAAGGATTTAATACTGGCAAAACTTATACGCTATTTATTGTTGTTATTCCTAATTTTGTTGTCTTTTTGGCAGTTTTCATCTGTTTTTGGAGATAAGATCAAGAAGAGTTTCATCCATTTGTTTGGGCGTAGGCAATTCAGTACGATACTTTACCTTTCATTTACTTTCTCTTCACCTTCGAATTCACTTGGTCGTTACTTTTTTTCGTTTCAGTCATACGTTGAGTGGTCTTTTTGTATAAATTCTTACTATTCTATTTTGTTTCGATACAAACATGGGGAAGAATGACAGGTGCTGTGTTGGCTCATGTGACAATGACACGAGGTACCCCGATAAGTTGGTGAAAAGGAATCATGTTGAAAAGCTAAGGTGGCATCGCTTCACAGAAGACCCAGGAAAATGGAAACAGTGGATATCTCTTATTAGCAAAGGCAGAGCAGATTTTAATCCTGGTCCTTGGACGTATGTATGCTCTAACCACTTTGTTGATGGTAAACCCACAACCCAAAATCCTTTGCCAGTTCTATACCCATCTGCCTCAGAAAAGCAGAAGCAGTCACCTAGAAAGAGAAGACTGTTTATCAACAAATTGATAATAAGAAGAGCAAGGGCGAAAATGATTACAGATTCACCATCAATGACATTTGAACAATTGACACGCGAGCATGATGTCAGGTTTTTTACTGGATTCAGAAGTTCAAGAATTTTCAAGACCATTTTTGAGTACCTTTATTCCAAGGCTTCAACAATGACTTACTGGGATGGAAGAAAGAAAACATTAGGCAACAGTTCCTGTGCTACAAGATTGGAAAGTATCCTGTCCTCAACAGATATGAATCAACTATTATTAAATTATTCAAAACCTGGACCAAGGATTTCTACTTGTTTTGATGAAATTTAAGACTTGATTTGATGCAGGCAGATTTAGCCTTTCGGTTCAAGGTTTCCACAGGCAAAGTCTCACAGATATTTATCACATGGATCAAACTGCTCTCAAGAGAACTTAGTGTTTTAAGGGCACTTTCTGGGTTGGGCTGGAATTCACAGTTGGGGTAGCCTGAACTTCACATGTTTTGGTCAAAAAGTAATATTGGTACAAAAAATCAAATTTATATCAAAAATTTCAAAAACAATAGAATACCTGATGTGTGACATCACGAAATTTGTGTTAAAGTACTGACACAAATTGTAACCATACAGCTCCTAGCACATGTCTGATAATTTAGATTAAGTATCTGAAAACATTTCTTTTCACAACTATAGATATATTTTTTTCAAATGTTGTAAAAAATTGGTGTAATCAGTGCATCGCAAAATTGACAAATCCATGATCAGGGTATCAAGGATTTTTCCAGACTAAATCAATGTGATTTATCTCTCTATCATTGTGTAGAGCATGAAAAATAGTGCATGTCAGCCAATGTTCATATATATTCCTCTTATGATCAGCATAAAACACGTGTCACAAAATTGAACATAAGCATAAAAATAACATTCGAGAAAAACGCAATTAAAAAGTTGGTCATGTCAATTTTCGAGAAATATAATGACAAGATGAATTAAAAACTTCCAGATGCATAAGTTAGTCCTTCAGTTTGCTGCATTCTGTCATCTGCAGCTTTTGCATGGGTCCTTCTAGTTTTTCTGATTTTTTTGTTCTGTTGCACTGGCATTGCTCTCTTTTATTCTTTTTCTGTCAAGCTTTTTCAATATATGGCCACTATGGCGTCCAGGTTCAATTCCAAGCTCTTCAAGGACACTACACATGGCCATTTTTCCACTATTGAATACAATTACAGCAGCAGCAGCAGCAGCACAGTCAAGATGGACTTTTCCAGAGGCCATAGTCTTTGCACATCTAGCCCAAATCAAGTGATTCAATGTCTTCTAGCTGTTCTGGGTGTAACCTCAAAGGCAACTTTCAAGTACTGAATCTTTAGAACGCCGTTCATAAATTGGCTTCAAAACTTCCATCACTGCTTTGGGTAGAGGCTTTGAATGATGGTAAGATTCAGACTTGAGAGCTGTCATGTCTCTGGCCCTTCAGGGCAATATTGGTGCTGGGGCTCATCATTTGTTGAAGCAGAATGATAAAGTCCTGCCCAAACTTCTTTTTTCATTCCCTCCAAATCATTCTTGTGACGGCGGATAGCAAGGCCATAGTAGGTTTGCAGTCTGTCAATTCTATCAGCTGTTAGCCTACCATAGCCCCCTATTGATTTACCATCACTCAATTTTTGTCCAGCATCCTTTGTTTTCACTTTACAAAGTGCAGTTCCAAGGCGTTTTTGCACATGTCCACTTTTTGATTGTTTTCTCACCATATGGCTTTAAGCTGGATACATTGTTGTATGCTTTGGAGTCACCATCTCCAATGTATCCAGTATACTGCAACTGGTGAAGTTCTTCTGATCGGAGGAAGATTCTTTTCACTCCCTCTGGCTCCATAGCTGGAGCTGAGCCATGATAATTTGTTGCACAGTTGTGCTCGGCCAACCATTTCTCTTTCTCTGGACAATCTGGCTTGGACTTCCAGGTTGAACATCCATGACACACTTTGTTTAGTGTCTCAAAATCAAGACACTTTCCTGTCTTTGCTGAGATGGCAGTAACCGCACCTTGCAGAGAGGAAAAACCTCTTTTTCGCCAGGTACCATCAAGCATCACATCACACTCGGTGTGGTTGGTCTCCTGGTCTTTCTCCTCTTTGGCAGCACCTCTCATTCTTTTGCTACCTTTTTTTCAGACAACCTTGTATGCTTTTCATAGTTGAGCTGTATGTGTCATGCGACATTGGGGAGGGAATGTTCAAATAAGCACAAAGCTTCAAAAGAGATGTCTCTCCACCCCCAATTCCCATTGCACCAAGTACAGCTTTACGGTTTATTTCAAACCCCTTTGAATTTTTGCAGTTGGGAGAGGTGTACATTTCTACCCTCTTCAAACATTGCTGACACTTTGCAACAATCAATGATGCTAGTCCCATTTTCTTTTCTGTTTCTTCCTTCACTTCAAGCTTGCCGTATTTACATTTCTGGCAAACTGCAGTGATATCCAGAAGTGACTGCAGAAATTCCATATTTATGATACGAACGCGCTCAGATTGAAAGTTGGGCTCAATTTGGGCAGAAAACTTCCGTGCACTAGCACCTTGCACATCGTCTTGGATGTCCTATAAAAAAAAGAAGAACTTACTAATAATATGTTCCTTTCATAATTACGTTTTATTTTGTAAGTTTATTTTCTTGAATATGAATGAATTTGAAATAGCACTGTCCAGGTAGTAAATGATAATACAACGAAAAGAAAACAGCAGAATACATTGGGTTATCAAATTGTAAGTTGACATCATATCAGAATAATATAAATATAAAAGTTATTCACATAAAGTGGCACAACAATCCTATCCTATGCTTTTCATAGCAAAATGAATTTTCAACACTCACCTTAGTAGACTGGACATTTTCAGCAGCTAGTTGCAGCTCCACTTGCTCTTCACTTTCCTGGCAAACGATCTCGCTTGGCCTAACTCCTCTAAACTTCTTCTTACTTCTTCTTTTACTCGAAAATTTCCTTTTTAGATTGGATTGATCCTCGGACGACATATTGGCGAATAAAACTAACTTCTTTTCACGAGATTCAGATCACTTTTGACGTGTGAAATAACGGTTTTCTAATCGAAGTTGCTCACACTTATGTTCATACACACAGTTAGAATATCGTTACACAGGCTGAAAGTAGCTTGTTGTTATGGAAACTCTTCATCTGATTGGACCAGCAGAAATCAACCATCCCGTGATTGGTTGATGTTGCTCAAACACACCCAACGACATTTGAGCCTCTTCCTCGTACTGTAGGCATGAGAATGTAGGCAAATTCATAATAGGCATTTTAGGCAATCTCCAAGGATCAAAATGATGCCTTGGGAAGCAGCGAGTGATGTCTAAATTTCAGGTGTTAGGAATCAGCTGATTTTCTACAATTTGACCATAGAGTGGGGTGAGAAAAAGGGGTTGAATATCAAAGGGGAGTCGTAATTTTGAAGAACTGAGACAACCACAAAGAAATTCAAAGAAATTGAACCCTGAATCATTTAAAATAAAAAAACTTGATTTTTTTCGAATTTTCAATAGAATTGCCCAGAAAGTTATTTGGCCTTCAAGACAGCAAGTCAAAAAACATTGTAAAACAATGTTTTCAGGCCAAGCAAGACTGGACAAATGTAGCTTTTAAAAAATATTCCTAGGCTGTCTTGGATTTTCTTATAGTGGCTTTCATCATAATTTATTTTTTCCACAAACAAGTCTTTCCGTGTCCAAACAACAAAGTAACAATGGTTTGCACCAGTCAATGCCATTTGGCTCACTACTTGAGTATAATATTTGTGTGTTCTTCTTAGTGAAACTGTTTTCTTTTCATCCAGTGCTAAAAAGGCACAATTTGTACAGACAACTCGTTGATCTCCATGTCACGAAGGCTGTATGGGCATTTCACTTCAAGAACTGAAAGGCCATGGCACTTACAATTAACCAAACCATCGGGGGTTGCTGCTATATATGGCTTCTTGGCATCTACAAACAAGCCACATTTTTTTATTTTAAATCATCATGATTTTTTTCTTCTTTAATAAAAAATTCTTTGACACCTTGGTCTTCATGTTGCCTTCGCCACTTGATTGCAGGGATATGACCAAGATCATTGCCCCTGTACATTATTTTTTGTATGAGTGGTGTAGTTGGGTTGAATTTACTTAACTCATCCTTTCTGACTTCCTCTCGGCTTGGCTTGTCCTTCTCTTTTGACCTGAATCTTTTTCGTACCACTATTTCCTTAGTCTGTTTTGGCTTCACTTCTTTCTTTGATGATTTATTCCAACTGCATGGAACTGAAGTACACGAGGGATCAAGGTAACCTTGTCTAAGGGCGTAGTCAATTTTGTAGAGGGTTGCAATAACATGGTTGCAGCACTGACTTGTTCCTGCCATACAGGAACACCAGCTTGTCAATATATCAACTGGGCAATTTTTAACAAGGATCCATAAGTTTCTTGTTACAGAAACTGACAATGATGCTTGAACCTTGCAATAAAGGAAGACAACATCTTTATTGCTGACTGGGTGGTGTTTATAAATGCTGTCAACAAACCCACTGTCAAAGTATGAGTAGGCCTTTTGATCCTTATACCTTCCAATATAATCATAATCAAAATCTCTAACTTTAAGGATATAGGAGAAAATTGCCCCAACATCAATTTTTGGCCACTTTAAGATGTCATTGCTCCTCTCAGTAACACTGACAGACTCTGGGTCACACATGTTGAATTTTTTAAGCGGTTTTCATAGTCAATTTTCAGTTTAGCTTGTTGTTCTGCAGATGAAGCTAAAATAGGCAGATCCATATCAACCGCAGCAAAGGCACGTGCAACAAGTTCAACTTTTTTCCCAGATGTGTTTAGTCCACGGACTGCTAAAAAATCCACTAAACTGTTTCTTCCTAATTCAAGGAAATCTTGCTGAGGGCCATCGTTAAGACCTAGAATGAAAAAAAAGTTGTTAGGAAAGAAAGCTTCAAAGTATCACAAGAAAGTAAATGAAAGGTAAAGTATTGTACCGAATTGCGTGAAATCGCCTAGGCCCAAACAAATGGAAGAAACTCTTCTTGATCTTATCTCCAAAAACAGATGAAAACTCCCAAAAAGACAACAAAATTAGGAATAACAACAATAAATAACGTATAAGTTTCGCCAGTCTTAAATCCTTGGCGCAATTTAATATCTAAAACGACCTAATTTAGAAGGTTCTCTAATCACACTATCTGTTTCCGTGGTCGGCCATTAACAAAATGCGGAGGAGCCACGCAGGGTTTGCCCCACTTGGATAAGGCGTCGCGATCTCCGAAATGGTGTATTGGGTTATTGCAAAACATTTTCTGTGGTTTTGATTTTGAGATTTTATATTTTAGGACGGAACATTTATTCCATTATTTCCAAACAATTTCATTGTAAGAAGTCCTGGACATGACAGCTGTGGGACATTTAAAGAAACAAGAACAAAAACATTATTTGATTTGCAAGGTAAGCTGGAAGAAAATAATGAGAATGATCACTTTTTATTCCATTATGGGGCATAAGTTTGCAGCTTTTATGCTTTGTCCTTTTTCCTTCAGAAACTTAAACCTTATTTACAGTTTCCATGGCAGCCCCAAAAAATACATATACTGCGAGTTTTAGATAAGATTTCTATCAAGAAAGGGATGATTCGAATTGAGAATGAAAGGAGAGGCTGAATTTAAATTTTTCATAGGATCTGAGGGGGTAGATGTAAAAAAATACATATACTGCGAGTTTTAGATAAGATTTCTATCCAGAACGGGATCATTCTAATTGAGAATGAAAAGATAGGCTGAATTTAGATTTTTCATAGGATCTTAGGGGGTGGATGTAAAAAAATACATACACTGCGAGTTTTAGATAAGAGAGAGTTTCCGATCGCCGACGCAGTTACGACGGGGACGTTTGCGAGGCTTGGAACTAGCGCGGTGAGAAAAAATGGCATACCCCCGTGATTGCTTCTTGTCCGGCGTAGAACGCAAAATTCGAAAATTTCCGTCGGAGCAAGAACGCTGAGTTTGAACGGTAAGAACTAATTGTTTTGGGTGTAATCGTTTCGAATTGAGATCTTTCTGGCTCAGCAAAGCCGCAATTTACCTCTTCGAACTAAAAATAGGCCATTTTACCAAGTTTTCTTTGTATTTCAGCCTTATCAATTCGACCTATTTCTGAAGGAAAATGGCAACTAAAGTGACACCAAAAGACATGGAAAGCCGGCCCTAATTCTTAGACACAATGCATTAAAAATAGTTGCAACTGACTTGATGTACATTGTTTGTAGGTTTTATAAGTTTTAGCTTTTTTAAACCTTTTATTTGTAAGAAACAAAGTAAAAATTTGATTAAAGTTTTTTAATCACAAGAATGCTAGCTTCAGCATGTCCAGGAAGCTACAGTTTTCAGATTTAAAGTATCAAAGGGGTTTTCCCCATTTTTGTATAGACAACTGAACTAATTCCTTGTCCTATGGATTAAATTTAGGTAGGATTTTCTTTTCAGAAAGTACTATATGTAATCATTCTTTTATATATGGAACTTGCTTATGAAACAAGTGCTGGGAATCCCAAAAATTTAAATAACTTTATAGTATTCAAAGGAAAAGAATTTATAAAAATGGAGGGCTTGAAACATCTAAGTGTTGGCATGAAAATGTCCGACCTAGATAACTAAGATTTTTAAAAAATTCCACAAATTCTTCAAAGCATTCTATTTCTCTCATTGTATGTAATTTATTTCATCTTTCTTTTGTAACCTGTTGCTGTATTTTAAAAAATTTGAAGTATGTATGGATTTTTAAAAAAAGAAATGAACTGTAACTGAACAGCAAACTTCATCAGTCTCCTATCTCCTGTTTATGTGTTAAACCTTTTCTGCAGCCTGAATAATAAAGGACCCCAATGTATGAATAAATGACATGAAAATTTGGAAATTTAAGAAACAATGAGTGCTAAAAATTGCTGCATTCAGAGACTTCAGTGTGTTCTCTATGTTGACCTTTGTTTCTGATAATAAATGAATGTAATTCACTTTTTGGATCAAAACTAAATGTCAGTGTAGTACTGAATTAAAAACTGCACAGCACCAAGTTTACTGTCATATAATTGGTGAAGAGGGGTTTGCACAGATACCTTGCTTGAAACTACTGTTCACATGGGAGATCTCTTTAAAAGTGCGATTCTCTGCATACTGAGATATTCTTACTTATATGAAACATTGTATTTTTTAAGTTTCAGATATATCTTTATAGAGTGACAAAAGTTATTGGCTTGTTTGCCTTGAACTCTTGACTTGGATTCAACTGTAGTTCTTCTGTAAATAAATCTCCCTATAGCCAGATATAATTGATATCTGAACATTCCTACTTTTCAAGTAAGGACACAGTGTCTATAGTTAGGTAAAAACATATTTTTTTTATGTGAAACATGTTGACAACTTTTTGTAATACAAACTGCCTTTTATGATGCACTAATTGCAAAGATCGTGATGTGGATAAGAAATTTTTCCCTTTCTTACAAGTTTAGCCTGTCCACTCTACTGGAATTCCACTACAGGCTGGTAGCTCCTTTTAAGTTTTTGGACTTTAAACATTTCTTATTGAGGGCTTGTTTTGTGGCTGCCCTTGAACTACTGTAAAATTTACAGTATACATTTAACAGACCAAAAATTAATTTAAAACAGAAATTTTTATAGTACTGAAGTATCATTTTCTTTCACCAAGCATTTGTATTTAGATATTCTCTCATGAAACATGCAAGCAAAATCCTGCATGCTGGTTACATTTGGAAATTATAACATTTGGATATATTGCATAAAGAAATTGTATGTTTATTGGTACATTTCCGGCTCGTTAATATCATGCTCCATTTTCGATATACACTCTTTGTTATATGAGAACCAGTATATGCAGATCAGGATGGCTGCTTTTAATTTTTCTAGAACTTTCAGAAGGTTATCAACAATACACATACTTGGAGTTTTCTATCGTGTGTGATAAGATAAATCTAAACTTGGTGGCTTTGAAAGCTTTTAAAAAGCTGTTTAATAGCTTGTAAGAAAAGGTGTTTTCCTTATCTGAAGTATTCTTCAAGAACTGGTTGCTGCAGATAGAAAATAAGCTGATGTAGTGTTTCCAACGTTCACTTAAAATACGGAAGGCCATCGTGCAAATTTTTATTATGGTGCTCTAACAGAAGAGGCGTCTCTTTGCCGTCGATATCGCCCTCATCGTGCAATAAAAACAACATGTCGTCCATTTTTAGCTTGTTTGATTTTGGCGCCATTCTACGTCCCCGTCGTAAAATCGGAATCTCATTTTTCACATGTGCAGGAGGACGGAACGGCCGCGCTATTTCCAGGCCTCTCAAACGTCCCCGTCGTTGCTGCGTCGGCGATCGGAAACTCTCTAAGATTTCTATCCAGAACGGGATCATTCTAATTGAGAATGAAAAGATAGGCTGAATTTAGATTTTTCATAGGATCTTAGCGGGTACATGTAAAAATATACATATACTGCGAGTTTTAGATAAGATTTCTATTCAGAACGGGATAATTCTAATTAAGAATGAAAAGATAGGCTGAATTTAGATTTTTCATAGGATCTTAGGGGGTACATGTAAAAAAATACATATACTGCGAGTTTTAGATATGATTTCTATCCAGAACGGGATAATTCTAATTAAGAATGAAAAGATAGGCTGAATTTAGATTTTTCATAGGATCTTAGGGGGTTCATGTAAAAAAATACATATACTGCGAGTTTTAGATAAGATTTCTATTCAGAACAGGATCATTCTAATTGAGAATGAAAAGATAGGCTGAATTTAGATTTTTCATAGGATCTTAGCGGGTACATGTAAAGAAATGCATATACTGCGAGTTATAGATAAGATTTCTATTCAGAACGGGATAATTCGAATTGAGAATGAAAAGATAGGCTCGATTTAGATTTTTCATAGGATTTTAGTTGTTACATGTAAAAATATACATATACTGCGAGTTTTAGATAAGATTTCTATCCAGAACGGGATCATTCTAATTGAGAATGAAAAGATAGGCTGAATTTAGATTTTTCATAGGATCTTAGCGGGTACATGTAAAGAAATACATATACTGAGAGTTTTAGATAAGATTTCTATTCAGAACGGGATAATTCGAATTGAGAATGAAAAGATAGGCTGAATTTAGATTTTTCATAGGATCTTAGGGGGTATGTGTAGAAAAATACATATACTGCGAGTTTTAGATAAGATTTCTATTCAGAACGGGATAATTCGAATTGAGAATGAAAAGATAGGCTCGATTTAGATTTTTCATAGGATTTTAGGGGGTACATGTAAAAATATACATATACTGCGAGTTTTAGATAAGATTTCTATTCAGAACGGGATAATTCTAATTAAGAATGAAACGATAGGCTGAATTTAGATTTTTCATAGGATCTGAGGGGGTAGATGTAAAAAAATACATATACTGCGAGTTTTAGATAAGATTTCTATCCAGAACGGGATCATTCTAATTGAGAATGAAAAGAGAGGCTGAATTTAGATTTTTCATAGAATCTTAGGGTGTACATGTAAAAAAATTCATATATTGCGAGTTTTAGACAAGATTTCTATTCAGAACGGGATAATTCTAATTAAGAATGAAACGATAGGCTGAATTTAGATTTTTCATAGGATCTTAGGGGGTAGATGTAAAAAAATACATATACTGCGAGTTTTAGATAAGATTTCTATCCAGAACGGGATCATTCTAATTGAGAATGAAAAGATAGGCTGAATCAAAGATCGTGGAAGGGAGACTGGATAGGACACTGAGCTGAGAACAAAAGGCGATTATTCTCATCTTCACAACAGTGTTATCGAAAAAGTTGTAGGGTATCCTTATTTCCGGTTCAGCGTATTTTTTGGAGGAAAAGCGAAGGTCGCAGTTGATTGTGGTAGAAAAGATGGAATTTGATTATTTTGGTCCTGATATAGACGAAGAAATGCTTGAAGATTCGGCAGAGGTAAGGGTCTGTTTTATTTTTGAATTTTGTTGAATTTTAATCTTGCGTTCACTTGATCTCTTATCATTAGAAATAGGCCCAAGCCTACACCTTCACTCATTACTGATTTTTGATTCGCTTTCATCTACAGGTGACAACGATAGCATTTTGCAATGAAGACAGGATTGAGCTGCTTATTGAGGAAAATGATATCAAAAAACGGCGGAGAAAAGCGAAGAAGGGCAATACCGAATCTGATGCGCGTATCGGGGAAACAAGTAAGCCAAAATTTCACGTTGATGTCCGCGTGATGCTCAGGAATGCACTTGAAGTAATGCAGAAAAATGAAATGTTGTGTGAGATGTTTGCTAATGTGATAGGACGTTTATCAAAAATCAACTTTGAAAGTATACCAGAACTATCTTTCCTTGATGAAGTCCTTGCACAGACCGTAGACATGAAATCTTTTTCAATGGAGATGATGTGGACTCGTTTCAGCAAGGTTTGGATAAACGCAAATGTTACTGACAAGCTGATTGAATGTCTCGATGTACCTAAATACTTTTGTTCCTGGCTGTTGTTATATTGCCAAGAAGAAGTGTCAAAATATAATTTTAATGCTTCAGTTCAAGTTTCTTTCGTAGCCTCCGAAGCACGACTGAAGGAGCAAGAAAAAGAGACTGTCACATATATCTGTGGAGCAGTTTTGTCCAAGTTAATTAAAAAGGCCTATGACAATTTGCAGAAGCCACGAATAAATGAAAATGCAGAATTGGCACTCAAAAAGAGAATTGAAGCTTTAAATTGCTGCAAGAGTAGTCACTCTACTGGAGTTTACACTGGAAAACTGATAGAAACTCTTGACCGTGGAGGGCTTGTTTATCCGAAAGCTTCATTTGCTGACCTTTTTCACAGAGCAGAAAAGTTATTTCAAGATTCCGTTTCTGGTGGTGTTAAAAAAATTAATGTGGCAGCCATTGTATCCCAATTCTTCAGTCAGGAAGCAAATGGAAACTACAGTATAAGAACAAAATCAATATTCAGTTCAAAAAATGTACCTGAAAACATGCAGAAAGTCATATTAAAAGACAGCATCAAAATATATGTGAAGTTGAGAGCCCATGCCCATGCAAAACATTTGATTGAGAACTATAAGTCAACATCAAGGAAACAGAAAAAAGAAAAGGCTTTGAGAAAAAAGTTAAAATCTGTTTCAAAGGACAAAAAGTTGTAATTTGTTAAGTTGTTTTGGAGATGATAAGATCTTTTTTAGAATTATTTTACAGGATAAGATGATTTCCCAAAAATAGAATTTGTAACTTTTTTGCTTCAAATTTCTTGTTCTCTGTTCACCAGCATACCCTGAAATAGCCTCAACCACAACCATAGCCTCATGCCAAAAAACATGCTTTGCCCCAAATGTTCTAATGTTTAATTTTTTTATTTTCTTACAAATATGCTTCAATAGAGCTCAGGACAAGTTCCCTATGGTGTATTGTTGTACTGATGTACCCAAATATCCACCCATATCCCCAAACTAGCATTCTAGGCCCAGACTATAAATGGATAACAATTAGATGTATTTGTGCTAAACTGAACTTATTGAACTAACTGAACAATTGTTTTCCTCTCAATCACATGACAGAAGATTTTAAAAAAATTATTTTTGCTGATTTTTTAACATGACTGAGAACAGAACAATTTTTATTTAAAAACAATCCTTAAATTCCTTACAGGCTTGAAATAAACAAAATGATCAAAATAGAGGCAAGGGGACAACAAAATTCAACGCAACAACTTGAGGTCACCTGAATAAGGGTTCTAATAAGGGTACAATACTTTTAATCACAGCAGTGGAGTTAAATGGGCACTTTTGATTAAAAAAGCTACTTTTGTTGGACCTTCCAGTGGAAAAATAGGGGGAGAAGTTGAAATAAGCTACACATATTCTACTAAAATCCCCAATTTATTCTAAGCCCAGAAAAAGTGATTACTTCACTCAAATAAATAAATATAGTGTCTATAGTATATCCACTGCTTTCACTGTTAATAATGCTGTAATATATGCGTCTTACATGGTCTTTTCTGCATGTTCTAGGTTAAGATTGCATGTGCAGTAATCTCATCCACAGTAAGCTTGATCACAACATCTCCCAGTGTATTGATACAGCCAAAAACCAAATTGTTTTCAGTGTGGGAAAGTTTTACCCAAGGAGCATTTACCTTTGACAGATCTTTCTCCAGCTCTTTAAAATCTATATACTTGTATAACACAGGTAAAACAATTTCACTGTTGCGCACCAGCTGACGTCTTTCAGTTGCCACTTCTCTCTCGTGACTCCTCTTCAGGGACGTAACTATTGGGGGGGTTTGGGGGGGTGTTTCACCCCCCCCAATCCTGAAAAACAGCATTTTGCAGGGCAAAGCAGAAGGAATTAGTAGTTCTCGCAGGGCAAAAGAGATTAGAAATCAAGTTTCACAAAATATCTTAGTTCATTTTACTTTCTTATCAAATCCAAAACATATGTTAGTTTTTCCGATTTTTTGTGGTATTGTAAAGTGAGTTTCTTATTTCCGTGCCCCTCGCGAAGAAAAAGTGACACTGCTTGGATAAACGGTATCGCATCATGGCATAAAATGAAAAGTGGCAAGCTTCCTCAGCATTTTTCTTCTGAAGCACACCAAGCAGCATTGGCTGATTTTGCTAGGTTTTCAGTCGAACAAGGACATATTGACATTCAAATGAATAGGCATCTGAAGGACATCATCATTCAGGAGAAGGCTGACGAAGAAAAATGCAAATCGATAATGAACATTTTGTTTGATATTGCTAGAACATTGGCAAGGCAAGGAATTGCTTTCGGAGGCTCCGCAGGAGACCAGAACGGCAATTTTGTCCAGTTTGTGAATTTTCTGTCCAGGCACTGTCTACAGATGAAAGAATGGCTTGATAGCAAACGATTGAAGCCTTTCAGTACGAAATACATGATTCTAGTTCACAAAATGAACTTTTAGAGATCTGGGGGGAGAATGTTAGAGAAAGAATAAAATATGAGATTGAGTGTGCTAAAATGTTGTCGGTTTCGGCCGATACAACACCCGATGTTAGCAATAAGGATCAAATGGTTGTGGCTGCAAGATATATTGGTGAAAATGGAATTGCGCGCGAGAGAGTCGTGGAAATGAAAGAGTGCAATGACAAACATGGAGATGAGACAGCAGAATGTATTCTCAAGTGTCTGGAAGCAAATGAAATTAATGTGAAGTATCTCTGCTTCCAAAAATACGATTTCGTAAATAATATGTCTGGGAGAATTGCAGGGGCACAGAGGGTTCTACAAGATATTCTTGAAAGACCAGTCCCGTACATTCCATGTCAAGGGCATCGATCTAATACTTTCAACGAGCATTGTGCAAAACAAAGTGCTATAATTACGTCGATATACGATAATCTTCAAGATATATATGTTTTCTGAAGTGCCAGCTCCAAACGAAACAAAATTTACAATAAAGAAGTTCAAGAAGTTGATGAGTACTCCTTGAAACTCCCCAACATGTCTAAAACGATATGGGTCTACTCTTCAGAGTCAATAGAAGCAGTGTGGCGAAGTTTACAAAGCATACTCAAAGCAATTGAAAAAGTTGTCAGTGACGACAGCACAGAAATGAAGGGTAAAAGTGAAGGGTAAAGACATAAAGAAAAAGTGTCTGTCATTTGACTTTCTTTTTGCATTGATGTTCATGAGATTAATTATGAAGAAAACAAAGATTTTGACGATGCAACTCCAAGCAGAAGAGCTTAACATCCTAGATGCGATGAAATTAATTGAAGCAACAGTAGAAAATCTTAAGAAGATTCGCATTGATAACAAGGCTATGGATGAAGAGTTGGATGCTCTAAACGAGTGAGCTAAACAGTATGGAATAGATTCAGCGGCTGAGTTTAGTGGAAATATCGACTCAGGTTGCAGCCAAGAAAGATTGACAACGGCCCAGAAACATCAGCGGAATTTGAATTTAATTCCTTCTACAGAACAGAAATGTGTGTTGTTCTCGATTCTCTGATAGCAGAGTATGGTGAAAATATCAAGGCATGCTTGAAAAAAATTGAGCCATTGGCAATGGCGTTGCAGCCACCACTCAAAACGATAAACCCAGAAACAGTCCACGATCTTTGAAAGCTTTTCCCACCAGGCTTTTATATTGAAGCAGGGGTTATATTATGTGAGCTAGATGTTTTTAAGTCAATGATTGAACAGCAACAGATCCAGCCAACTTCCGTCAAAGAGGCTGCCAAATTTTCATATGAAAACAGACGACTTTTCCCAACGGTTTACAAATGCTACAGCCTTCTTCTTACAGCACCTGTGTCTGTGGCTAAAGACGAGCGAACCTTTAGCAAACTTAAGATTGTTAAAAATTTGCTGCGATCAAGGATGAAAGATGAACGATTGAATGATCTCATTCTACTTGCTTGTGAGAAAGACCTAACAGACACTATCCCACTTGATAAAGTATTAAAAGTATGGCATGAAAAAAATGAGAAGAATTTCAATTAAGTAAATTAGTGTGAAAGTAGACTAATTATTGACTTTTTTTATTGCGATTGTTGATTTGTGTTGCTTTTTGAAAATAATATATGTACTTATGTAATATATGCATAAGTACAGTGCATCTATACTTGTTTTACAGGAAAAATTTTGCAGGGCAATAGTGTTTACACCCCCCCAAAAAATTAGTGAAGTGACGTCCCTGCTCCTCTTCGCAATAAAAATAGTTGGTATGCTACCCACAATAAGGTCTTTCCTTCCTGTCCTGCCTGAAATACAATATCTAATAAATAAATGTCTCATGTTGATAAAAAGGTCATATTGTTACTACTATATCAGAATCGAGAAAAAATTGCCTTTAGAAAGAACTGTAGAATTACGGACATCGATGTCTGAATAAAATTAGATACTTCTTGAAAAGCAGCCAGTCTTCGTTGAGTCTGATTCTTGGTCGCTAAATACCAAATGTGAACTAACCTGTCTTGAAACAGTCTGGATTGAAGTGTCTTGAACATATGTATGCCCTCTCTGAGTTAAAACTGCTGTCGCATCTGTTTACAACTCTCAACAAGCGTGCTCTCCACTCTTTCTTGGCTTTACTCTTAACCGAATTCGATGGTACTTTGTGAAAACTTAGAAGAGGGTACCTTGCTTTACTTTCATATGTAGTGCAACCAACCATACAACAATTAACGACCATATTTCTCTACAATCCAACAAAACTAGCGCATTTTTTCATTCGATTGGTTCCGTACGCGAACTTTCATTGCGTGTTAAGGTAGGCCGGAAATGATCATACCCTACAAACTCTCAAAATCAGTGATCCTTAACATAGCCTTTTGTTATAAGCGCAGTGTCCTATCCAGTCTCCCTTCCACGATCTTTGGCTGAATTTAGATTTTTCATAGGATCTTAGCGGGTACATGTAAAGAAATACATATACTGCGAGTTTTAGATAAGATTTCTATTCAGAACGGGATAATTCGAATTGAGAATGAAAAGATGGGCTCGATTTAGATTTTTCATAGGATTTTAGGGGGTACATGTAAAAAGATACATATACTGCGAGTTTTAGATAAGATTTCTATTCAGAACGGGATAATTCTAATTAAGAATGAAACGATAAGCTGAATTTAGATTTTTCATAGGATCTGAGGGGGTAGATGTAAAAAAATACATATACTGCGAGTTTTAGATAAGATTTCTATCCAGAACGGGATCCTTCTAATTGAGAATGAAAAGATAGGCTGAATTTAGATTTTTCATAGGATCTTAGCGGGTACATGTAGAGAAATTTATATACTGCGAGTTTTAGATAAGATTTCTATTCAGAACGGGATAATTCGAATTGAGAATGAAAAGATAGGCTCGATTTAGATTTTTCATAGGATTTTAGGGGGTACATGTATAAATATACATATACTGCGAGTTTTAGATAAGATTTCTATTCAGAACGGGATAATTCTAATTAAGAATTAAACGATAGGCTGAATTTAGATTTTTCATAGGATCTTAGGGGGTACATGTAAAGAAATACATATACTGCGAGTTTTAGATAAGATTTCTATTCAGAACGGGATAATTCTAATTAAGAATTAAACGATAGGCTGAATTTAGATTTTTCATAGGATCTTAGGGGGTACATGTAAAGAAATACATATACTGCGAGTTTTAGATAAGATTTCTATTCAGAACGGGATAATTCGAATTGAGAATGAAGAGATAGGCTCGATTTAGATTTTTCATAGGATTTTAGGGGTTACATGTAAAAATATACATATACTGCGAGTTTTAGATAAGATTTCTATTCAGAACGGGATAATTCTAATTAAGAATAAAACGATAGGCTGAATTTAGATTTTTCATAGGATCTGAGGGGGTAGATGTAAAAAAATACATATACTGCGAGTTTTAGATAAGATTTCTATCCAGAACGGGATCATTCTCATCGAGAATGAAAAGATCGGCTGAATTTAGATTTTTCATAGGATCTTAGGGGGTAAATGTGAAGAAATACATATACTGCGAGTTTTAGATAAGATTTCTATTCAGAACGGGATAATTCGAATTGAGAATGAAACGATAGGCTCGATTTAGATTTTTCATAGGATTTTAGGGGGTACATGTATAAATATACATATACTGCGAGTTTTAGATAAGATTTCTATTCAGAACGGGATAATTCTAATTAAGAATGAAACGATAGGCTGAATTTAGATTTTTCATAGGATCTTAGCGGGTACATGTAAAGAAATAAATATACTGCGAGTTTTAGATAAGATTTCTATCCAGAACGGGATCATTCTAATTGAGAATGAAAAGATAGGCTGAATTTAGATTTTTCATAGGATCTTAGCGGGTACATGTAAAGAAATACATATACTGCGAGTTTTAGATAAGATTTCTATTCAGAACGGGATAATTCGAATTGAGAATGAAAAGATAGGCTTGATTTAGATTTTTCATAGGATTTTAGGGGGTACATGTAAAAATATACATATACTGCGACTTTTAGATAAGATTTCTATTCAGAACGGGATAATTCTAATTAAGAATGAAACGATAGGCTGAATTTAGATTTTTCATAGGATCTGAGGGGGTAGATGTAAAAAAATACATATACTGCGAGTTTTCGATAAGATTTCTATCCAGAACGGGATCATTCTAATTGAGAATGAAAAGATAGGCTGAATTTAGATTTTTCATAGGATCTTAGCGGGTACATGTAGAGAAATACATATACTGCGAGTTTTAGATAAGATTTCTATTCAGAACGGGATAATTCTAATTAAGAATGAAACGATAGGCTAAATTTAGACTTTTCATAGGATCTGAGGGGGTAGATGTAAAAAAATAAATATACTGCGAGTTTTAGATAAGATTTCTATCCAAAACGGGATCATTCTAATTGAGAATGAAAAGATAGGCTGAATTTAGATTTTAACTGTACCCCTAAGATCCTATGAAAAATCTAAATTCAGCCTATCTTTTCATTCTTGATTGAATATATCCCGTTCTGGATAGAAATCTTATCTAAAACTCGCAGTATATGTATATTTTTACATGTACCCCTAAGATCCTATGAAAAATCTAAATTCAGCCTATCTTTTCATTCTAAATAGAATTATCCCGTTCTGGATAGAAATCTTATCTAAAAACTCGCAGATATATGTATTTCTTTACATGTACCCGCTAAGATCCTATGAAAATCTAAATTCAGCCTATCTTTTTCATCTCAATTAGAATGATCCCGTTTGGATAGAATCTTATCTAAAACTCGCATAGTATATTTATTTTTTACATCTACCGCTAAGATCCTATGAAAAGTCTAAATTCAGCCTATCTTTCATTTCTTAATTATATATCCCGTTCTGGATAGAAATCTTATCTAAAACTCGCAGTATATGTATTTTTTACATGTACCCCTAAGATGCTATGAAAAATCTAAATTCAGCCTATCTTTTCATTCTTGATTAGAATTATCCCGTTCTGAGATAGAAATCTATCTAAAACTCGCAGTATATGTATTTTTTACATGACCCCTAAGATCCTATGAAAAATCTAAATTCAGCCATCTTTTCATTCTTAATTAGAATTACCCGTTCTGGATAGAAATCTTATCATAAAACTCGCAGTATATGTATTTCTTTACATGTACCGCTAAGATCCTATGAAAATCTAAATTCAGCCTATCTTTTCATTCTTAATTGAATGATCCCGTTTGGATAGAAATCTTATCTAAAAATCGCAGTTAATTTATATTTTTTACATCTACCCTCTAGATCCTATGAAAAGTCTAAATTTAGCCTATCGTTTCATTCTTAATTAGAATTATCCCGTTCTGAAAAGAAATCATATCTAAAACACCGCAGTATATGTATTTCTTTACAGTACCCCCAAGATCCTATGAAAAATCTAAATTCAGCCTATCTTTTCATTCTCAATTAGAATATCCCGTTCTGGATAGAAATCTTATCAAAACTCGCAGTGGAATGTATTTTTTTACATCTACCCCCTAAGATCCTATGAAAAATCTAAATTCAGCCTCTGTTTTCATTTTAATTAGAATATCCCGTCTGGATAGAAATCTTATCTAAAATCGCCAGTATATGTATTTTTTACAATGTACCCCTAAGATCCTATGAAAAATCTAAATCGAGCCTAATCTTTTCATTCTCAATTACAATTATCCCGTTCTGAATAGAAATCTTTTTCTAAAACTCGCAGGATATGTTATTTTTACATGTACCCGCTAAGATCCTATGAAAAGTCTAAATTCAGCCTATCTTTTCATTCTTAATTAGTATGTATCCCGTTCTGGATAGAAATCTTATCTAAAACTCGCAGTATATGATTTTTTTACATGTACCCCCTAAGATGCTATGAAAAATCTAAATTCAGCCTATCTTTTCATTCTTGATTAGAAATTATCCCGTTCTGATAGAAATCTTATCTAAAACTCGCAGTATATGTATTTTTTACATTTACCCCCTAAGATCCTATGAAAAATCTAAATTCAGCCTATCTTTTCATTCTTAATTAGAATTATCCCGTTCTGGATAGAAATCTTATCTAAAACTCGCAGTATATGTATTTCTTTACATGTACCGCTAAGATCCTATGAAAAATCTAAATTCAGCCTATCTTTTCATTCTCAATTAAAATGATCCCGTTTTGGATAGAAATCTTATCTAAAACTCGCAGTATATTTTATTTTTTACATCTACCCCTAAGATCCTATGAAAAGTCTAAATTCAGCCTATCGTTTTCATTCTTTAATTAGTATTATCCGTTCTGGATAGAAATCTTATCTAAAACTCGCAGTATATGTATTTTTTTTACATGTACCCCCTAAATCCTATGAAAAATCTAAATTCAGCCTATCTTTTCATTTCGATTAGAATTATCCGTTCTGATAGAAATCTTATCTAAAACTCGCAGTATATGTATTTTTTACATGTACCCCTAAGATCCTATGAAAATCTAAATTCAGCCTATCTTTTCATTCTTAATATAGATATTATCCCGTTCTGGAATAGAAATCTTATCTAAAAACTCGCAGTATATGTATTTCTTTACATGTACCCGCAAGATCCATATGAA